CAGCGAATTTCCAATCTCTTGCTCAGCGATTAACAATCGCAAAGCAAATTTGATCTTAGTTTATACAGAGGTATTTCAATGGTCGATATGCCTGACCTTGTGAGTTTCCACTAGAAGCCACTTCGAAGCATCCACCGCCGCACCATCACCCATCAGTCCATCAATCCACTCGAGATAGAATCGACCACTCGGAGGAAGTATACGGTTGTAGAATGGGAATACTGGATCCGATCGGAAGAGTAACCGAATCGGTTTGGACTCGACCGAGGTGGGATCTATTTTTTTTTTTTTTTTTTTGGTTGACTCCATAGAAAACTTCGGGATGGAAATTACTTAGGGTTGTGTTATTGGGCCACCGTACCATACTAGGTACTTTCACAGACAGACATACGGAGTACAGTAGAAACTGGCTGGTGGGCCGGCGACGGCGATCAGCGCGATTGGAATTGAGGAGATCTTGGGTCTGGAACTGTAAACACAAGTCAGTACTCAGTCGATGATGGATACTCGATGGACAGTCTGTAAACAGCAGATAGTAGAGTAAACATGTACACCCTACGCAGTCATTCTGGAGTGAAAGGATGGGTTGGATTCTTGATATTTTATCAAAGTCGCGTGCCTGGTGCCTGGGATATCAGGGCTTCAGGCCATAAGGCTGGCTATCAATTCAACGTCGCATCGATCGATCTAGCTAGTAGTAGTACTATTACTCCGTAGCCCGTAGTCCGTAGTCCGTAGTAACTACGGCGTACACATGCTTAAAGAACTTGCATTCGAACATCCTCCTATGGAGCCATCACCCAATCTCCTCTCCCAACTCCCAACTCCAAAAGATATCTCCAAATACCTTCACGAACCAACACTAGGGAAAACCCCATCTCTTCTGTTCTATGGAGTACTTCTATTAGTATCGCTAGCGACACTGGTCCTTCTCGTCTGATTATCAATCTCTCTATCTAAACTCCAGATGTATGGCGCAGAAAGAATCCTGGTCAGAATCAAATGCAATGATTGATTGCATCTCATTGCATCTTATCCGCGTTCCGTTCCCCTAAACTTAATATCGGCGAATGCTCGGTGAATTTCTTTTCTCGATGATATAGACAATAGAGGAGTCGATCGCGAGGATCCTCTCCTTTCTAGTATCTATTAACTCCATGTGGCCATGTCCATGATCCATCAACTTCTAACCCTGGTTCTGCCACTAAACTCGTTTTTTTTTTCCCTTTGTTGGTGTTTAGTGTCTGATGTCTGGCCGGTGGGTGAGCAAGCAAAACGGTGCACCAGAGCCATGGTTGAGTAGATTTGGTCGTTTGAAACGAGATATTCTAGTTTTTTTTTTTTTTCTTTTTTTTTGGCTAGAGGGTAAGTCACTCACTCACTCCTATGGAATCAGATACCGCTGCAGAAAAGGAGCAGCAGAACAGAAAAAGTGAACCTGACTGCCTCTCCTTCTAGAAACTCTCATATACCTACTGGCAACCACCATTGGATGAACCACAATTGACCACTCTGCACTCACGTCTGACGCCCCCGTATCAACTACGGAAGGAGTCAAGTACGAAGTAGTGATAGTCCAACAGGCCCAGGACAATAAGGGGGATCTTGCTCTCGCTGATCGACCGCGTCCACGGCCACTCCCAGTCGCCCGTACGTGAGAGTGAGACATCCAAGACCCAAAACCAACTATCTCCAAACTACTGGATAGCAACGAACCTTCACCGTGTGGTGACTGGTGCAGCGGTGCCCAACCCGGCCGCAGCGGTAGCTTTAGCCTGGAGCCTTGTAGCCCTGCCAGGCCAGTAGGAGGCAGTCTACAGTCTACATTCGCCAGAAAAAGCCTTTTACGTTTAGGCTACTCGACCTTCGACCATGTGGGAAATTCGGGGGGCTACGGCTCCATCAGCCCAGGCGGGATAGGGATTGTGTCATAGTTATGTCTGTATCACGGAAGTCGTCCTTGTTTTTCCGTTTTTTTTTTTTTTTCGAGAGTTTCGGTTGAGGGCTTTTGAGCTTGGAGGGTTTGAGTACTCCAGATAGGACGGTAGGATGGAGATTGGAGACTTCCATGGATCCAGGTAGTAGGTACTCCGTACATACTATCTATTCTCCCTTAGATTCAATCTACTCTGTGGCCGTAGGACATACATAGTACGGTGGAAGGGAATAGAGACGCAGAACGCACCACGCACCCAGCACCCTTGTACTCCCGTCTAAAGTGATTCTTGTTCCTTGTTCCTGCAGGTCCGAGAGACCCCGTCTTCATGTCGACATGATCAGTCAACAGATGCATATTCCGGTTCTGCTTCTGGTTCCCTTGCGTCGAACAGCTCAGGCTCAGGCTCAGGAGCGTCAGAACGAGATACTGATATTGATACGGAGGTGAATGTGCTCCGTTACTCTGGGAATCGCGACGGCTTCTGGAACTGTGTCTGTGTCTGTGCTAGCCTGCTAGATACTCCGTACTTGGCCTTCTTTTTTTTTGGGTTCTTATCTTAGACTCCTCGTAGTCCGTTGGCTTGGTATCACGCTTGGTTGCTTGGATCTAACCAATATTAATCCCCTAGGTTCCTCTCCAGAATGGGGGTCTGAGATGATGGTATCAGATGCCTGTTATCTGGATCGAGCGCAAGCTTCGAGGATACTGCAGATGCTCGATTCCATCTTTCGTCCCTAGGGCCGTGAGGGGTATTTAGAAGGAGAACGGAGTCATCTCTGCTGCAGCCTGCAGCATTCCTCCCAAGAAGCTCCAAACACAGAAAACTCTCACCTCACCTCACCTCACCTCCTCGGCATCATCTACGGCTGGACTGGATCCTGTAGAAATCCCTCTCTCGACGTCCACCTCCATCTCCATCTCCATCTTTCACTCTCACTCTCAATTTTGAAGCTATTCTATCGACAAAGCTCTCATCCACCGTTTCCGACTTCCCACTACGAAAGAAAGGGAGAGAAAAACACAGATCGCGTTTCCATTTCTCCTGTCTCAAACCACACACACACACACACAAATATATATATATATACAGTCACATAGCCCAACGCAACCCAGATAATCCCACCGACCCGTCACCGACGAATGACGATCCCACAAGCGGAAAGAAAGAAAGACCCCGGCCTTGATCGACTGTGAGCGTGACTGTACCTGTGAGCTTCCGGCGGTAGAAACTGGACGGAAAGCCAGAAAGACTTGGCCTTGGCTGGCGGCTCTATGGTGGATAGAGGATGGTGGATGGTGGATGGTGTATACCCTCATGACGTACTCCAAATGTAGCTCGCTAGCTACCTATGCAATGCATATGCTGACCTGTGTAGATTGTCCCGGAGGGCTGGCTGCTGTGACTGTGAGGAAGGGTGTTGAAGAGGAGAGTTGAGATAGATCAATCAGATCAGATCCGACGATCTGGATTCGGGATTCTCGATTCTGGTCGGATATCTGGGAGTCGATGGGATTGTAAGCTCCTTGCTCTAGGTCCAGCGTGAGCTGGAACCGGGGGAAGGCGGGCATGGAAGTTGGAGACACGCCATCGAAGGAAGTCTCTACAGTGTACAGGTGCAGTCTGATGCGTGGAGCTGGTGGGCGTTAAGGCCTACTGGTAGAGCTTTGACAGTCCAGCAGAATGGAGGATCCGTATCTACCTTGGGCTAATGGCTGGCTACACCGAATGAATTACCCCAATGCAATATCCAGCTGTCGATACTGGAATACTCATCATTGAGTGGAAATCTTCCCCAGCACCCCAAGCTTCGTGCTCCGGACTCCGTGCGTAAAGAACATACTATTTTTCTGGTCTCAACTTGCAGAAATCACAAGCTTGCAGATTATCCTTCTTGCCCATCGGGACAGACTACGACAAGTAGAACTGGATAATATATTCGGCCTGGGCCTGAGGGCGAGGACAAAGCGAATCCCTGTGGTCGAGTACTTAGTATCGTACCAGTCCTGACTTGGACAGAGGTTTTTGACAGCACCAGCCATGGCGTGCCAGCCAATTCCATGGCTCGTCAACATGTCCATTCCTGGCCGCGCAGGACCAGACTCGCAGGCATACTCCTAGACTCTGAGATGAAGGACTTCATGTGGCCCTTCCGACGGAATCAGACTGGACTCCGAGCGCCACTATGGAGTATCACCTCACAAGTGAAAGGAAAAGAAAAAGGATCCAGACATCCACAAGCACTCTGTGCAAAAACTATCCCTCACGCAGCCACAGATGAAAGAGTTATCCTGCCCAATCGCGAGCTGTTCGTAACAAAGCAAATTACTAGGGCGAGACTCTCGGATATGGTCCGTACCACGACCCAAATCCACCAAGCAAGCCCATTCAGATCAGACCGGGACTCAACTCAGGGGCAAATAGGCCCCAGTGGGCTTCTCTGCTAGGTCAAGGCGCAATCATCCGCGTCCTCAATGCAGAGCACGACGATGTGACGAGCCCATTCGACGCTCGGTTAATGAAAAGGGACCAACCGGATGCGCTAGTTTCACCTGCATCTTCCCAGAATAGTCTTCGTGGGCCTCCATGTCTCATCACAGACGGCTACGGCGCTACCTCCTGTCAATACCAGCCGGTCACTACATGGCTGCTAGAAGATCTTCAAGTCATATAGTACCCTTGAAATGGCCACTCTTGTTGCTAGAGCGCTGTCTGCTGACTGGGAGGATCGCGCTGTCATTTGCCACCGTGACCCAGGCAAGAGAAAATCATGATGGGTCACGGTGTAGAATCTAGAGGGAAGCCGGTTTGGGCCCTTTGAGGTGATGGCTGTGGCTGTTCTGAAGACGATCTTTCCCGTGATCTGTCTGTCGCCCTGTTGATTGATGGGCCAAAGACCATGGGGCCTAAGACACTGGATGGTGCGCACCTTGATACCCAAAAGTGATTGATATTGAACCCTGAATGAAACGATCTCTGCTTCTATCTTACCTGCGTCAAAAGGAATGACATCTCACGCACTCCAATCGCACCGTCTTCCCTCTCTTCCCCAGGTTGGTTTCATCAGACCACGCTGGCACACTCTTCAGCAGTCCTCCCGTAGCACACCGGAAACAATCTCAGCCAGAACGCCGCGCGTCCAGGATTCCTCTCATTCTCAGATGATAACAGCCACCGAGCAAATGTGCCTGCCGTGCGAGGGGGGGTTGTACTGCGCAGATCCGCGATCTATGGAGTCAACATTAACGGAACCCCAAAGCGATCAGAATGAGCCTTCTACATACCTCTCCATACTTCTGCAAGGCTAACCAGTAATTCTCGGATAGTCCAAACAGCCTCTTGAGCGTTCTCTTGCCGACATGCCCCGCTGCAGCCGTATAGATTTCCGATAACTCCCCTCGATCAAGCATCTTGTGGTCGCCCAGGGCATGTCCACCAGGTAGATTTCGACCTTGTCGCTCGTGGATCACTTCGATGAGTCTGGTCAGGATGTCGGCCTCCCATGTGGCAAGAAGATCATGATGGAAGCATGTCATGTGTCGTTGGAGCTTCATCAAGTCGAGCTTGAGCAAAAGTGTCCCTGAATGGAGCTTGGCGATCTTGTATTCGAGGTTCTTGTTACTCCCGTTGAGCGCATCTAGGGCTGCGGAGTATCGCTGAACCGGGGTTAACAGATGAGGATTCTGAAACTCGAAGATATATATGCAGTCGTGACAAAAGAACACACCTTGACTGGAGACGAAGGAGGGTCGATGAGTGTGGAACACTGGAAAATAGGCAGGCTAGGGGACATGCTGTCCGTGTCTAGCTCGACACCGCTGGCACTCATGTCGGCTTCTTCAATACCTGTTGATATGCTGAATAGTAATCAAGGGTAAAGAGTGGATGGATTGATGTCGTCAAGATAATAAGTCTGCTGGTGATAAAGGAAGGAATGATAGCTCTGTGATGCTGTCCTTGGGAGTTGTGATGTGAATGAGGTCTTCCAGATACTAAACATCTTAGAAAGACATATGAGTGCAACTCCTCCCAGAGATGAGACCGTCAGGAAGAAAGAAAGAGCCACCTGCATCACACAAACAAAAAAAAAAAAAAAACAAAGGAGCTAGATCGCTTAGGATCTTTAGAGCTTCATCTTTATCTTCATCTAAATCATCAAACACTTGCAGGCCTATATATTATTGCCTTGGAGTTATTCCTCATCATCCTCGAACCATCCTATCAATCACCATGTTGCTTTTTGCATTCATTACAAAGCTGGATCATCTTCATTATCTTAAGTCGACTTATAACTTGCTCCCCGAGGCCTTACCAAACTCGATGACCAGCTTGCCAAATTGCTTAGCCTCTCTCATATCTTGGAATAGGCTGTCAAGTCCCGCAACATCGCCCAGATCAGTCTGCACAACACGCGAGATCACCGGATGAATGTTATTAGCCTTGATAAAATCCACCATCTCCTTGAACTCTTTGCGAGAGCCCATAGTGGTGCCACGGACGTCGATGTTTTTGAGTACAGCCTGCATTAGGAACGGCATCTTGGGCGAGGCAGTCATTCCGTATACGGACAGAACACCACCCGCCTGGATCAAAGGTCAGTCGAGCCGTATCGCTGAGATTCCTCAATAGCACACTAACCTTGAGTAACTTGGCTGCCTTTTCCACAGAATCACCACCGGCACCGTCGATGATGGCGTCAAAGTTGTGCTTGCTGTCAGGAAGCATCCCCAGAAGCTTTTTTTCCCATCCGTCTTCCTTATAACTCACACCACCTCTCGCACCCAGCTCAATGGCTTTCTGGATCTTGTCTTCTTTGGAGCTTGTCACGTATACATCTGCACCTCTTGCCACAGCGAAACGGAGAGCGATCAGGGCAACACCACCCCCGATTCCCGTGATCAGCACAGCAGCACCTTTGCTGGAATTTCTCTCTCCGGCCTTGACCACCAAAGCTCTCCATCCAGTCAGACCGGTTAGCGGGAGCGCAGCGGCCTCTGCGTCCGACAGATGCTCCGGGGCTTCTTCCACCTCGGACTCGTCAATGGTCAGATATTCCTGCAATGTACCCTTGTTGTAAAATTTGGTTCCGCCCATGATGCAATAGCCCTTGGGGTGTTCAGGTCCATCCGGCGAATCCTTCCAGCCAATGCCGGGGTTTAAGATCACTCGTTTCCCCTGCCACCGTTCGGGGCTGGAGACGTCTGGACCAGTTCCTACAACAACACCCACGCCATCTGCTCCAAGAGGCACGTCAAAGGTGACACCGGGATACAGATGTTGGCGCAGAAAGACATCGCGATGGTTCAGTGAGGCGGCAGTCATTTTCAGCAGGAGCTCGCGTCCCTGGGGTTTTGGCAGAGGCAAGGTCTGGACGGAGAGGGGGTAGTAGACCTGGCCTGGTTTGCCATCGATCTTGGAAATGAAGACTGCTTTCGACATTGTGTGGTGGATTGCGAGTGCTTTTCGTTTTTGTTGAGTACTGACACCCAAATAACGAGCCCAAAGGAATAAAAGAATAACTGAAGGAGAGATAAGTGATGTTGGACAGTATCTAGCGAGATCTAGTAGATGGACTATCCCATTGATTGCTCAGTAATCCGTGCGGGGATGACGACGATGATAATACTTGTTTATCAATAACCGAGGCTGAAATGGTCCGCAACTCTGGGGTATATTCTGAGGGCTGGTCCAAGATCAAAGAAAAGGGACGAGGCTACGAAAACAGGCGATGTCTAATGCGATCATATCTCATTGTTCAAGAAGAAATTACTGGGTTCTTGTGGCTACTGGTGGGATAGCGGGATTCCCGGACCTCGGTCTGTCTAGGTGTTTTATATACATATATATATATATATATATATCACGACCATGCTGTCACCAACAAGCATTCTCCTGAGAAAACAAAAGGGACTGGAGCAAAAGTTGTAGCTTCTAACCATTCACGAAAATAAAAACCCCCAGAAATATACAACTAATGAACAAGGATCAGACTGAGATACAGATTCAACCATTTCAGACCTCATCACGGACAACCCATCCAGCAGCTAACTCCCAAGCATAACACCGACGAAAGAAACCTACTTCCGAAATCGACCGCGTGGCCCATCACCAATCTCCCGGCTGATTGTCTCACACTCGCTGAGAAAGCTCTCCTCGCAGCAACCAAAGCGTTCGCAGCTTTCGACGCGCGAGAAGCGCCGTTGACAGTGTCTCGCTGATGGCAAGGACTGGCTGAGTACTGACTTCACCGACTCACAACAATGTGTGTTGGAGCTTGGAAGACAAACTCTGCATTGGCTCGTTATCAAGGAACTGTTGAAAGATAGCTGGCAGCACGGGTCTACTGAAGGACAAGGCTGGTGGGCGTGGGCGGAAAACCTCTCCTCAGAGCAGCACTGGTCGAAAGCACAAGGCTCTTCACGGAGGACGTCGCCGTGGCAGCAGTCCGGCTGGTCGAATGGTGCAGAGTGCTGGTGGGAGCTGGCACAGCGTGGTATCTGGCTCTGGTGATTTCCAGCGCAGCGAGGTGATCTGTGTTGTTCTTCTTGTTGCTGTTGTTGTTGGGGCCCCAGAGTGCAGGAGGAGAAAGGTTGCTGGAACTGGAACTGCGGATACTTCTGGTAAGAGGGGTCTGGGCATGTCTTGTAGCAGCCCGGGCTGGCACTGCCTTGCCTGGGTGATCGGTCGTGTCTTCCTGGGGTAGAAGGGCAGCATGATGGCTCTGGAGCGCAGGGGTTGATGTTCTCGCCTCGAGCATGGCCAGTGCGAGGTGGTTTGCCATTGGAATACCATGCGAAGGGTGTGTTGGTCAGTCTATCCCGCTTCATCTTGGTAGGATAGTGGTATACGGTTGTGTATGTGTATCGCTCGTCTGTTGACTAGGGTACGTACTCCATACATGATATATGTATACTTGGGCTGAGGAGGGTCGTCAGCTGTTGGATATACAAGGCTCATGTTCTACAGGTCATCAAACTGACAGACATCAGGGTCGCAGCAGAAGATTCATTATCTCCTGTTTGTGTCTGATTGCTCCCTGCAGATAAAGACTGCTTGTCTGCGGCTGCACATCCCAGGAACGCTGCCTGAGGCTCCCAGACCTTTGCCAGAAGGTCGGCTGGTATGGATGTGCAGTTCAGCCACACCTTGCCTTTCACACCTTACATCTTCTGCTGCAAGCACAGCGCACAAAATCAAGGAAGGAATGAATGCTCGTTTGCTAATAACAATCAAATCAAGGTGGATCGATGGCCCCAGGAGACTACAGAGTATAATGTCCATACTCTCCAGTCTCCAGGCAAGTTAAGACGCCGACGTGGCAGTAAGGGAGAGTAGGTCTGTCCGGGGTGGCTAACCCCACGCACCACGGAATGATACCTAGCATTACACGGATGACTGATCAAATCTGTCGACTCTATCTAGACCTTGAGACAGGTCTGGTCTCGTTGGGCATCTTCACGAGATCTAATCAATCACCTGGGTGGATATGATATATGATAGATGTAGTCTCTAAAATATGATTTGATTCCATCCAGCGGCTATCTAGTCTACTGAGGACTGACTTGCTTTTGTATGTGTCGCGCCTCGGATTTCCTCCTTGCCATACCTGATTGTGCGTTTGTGTGTGCGGCGTGTATGGAGTACGTATGGTAAAAACCGCGTAAACGCCCATCGCCCCTCTGGGCCTGGGGAAGAATGCTTCCATTATTCCATAGGTTGTGGCTGGCAACGAAACGAAAACAACGAAAACCGCAGATGGTAATTCCACGAGGGGCTGCTGATTGGCCTTCCCGCCGCGTCCATTTTTCTTTGGCTTCTTCAGTTCCATTGATGCCAGGAACTTTCCCATCTCTCTGTGATCTTCTTGACTTGGGATCCCGTCTAGCTAGCGTTTTTGCAAATCCAAACCACTCCTATCTGATTCTTCCTCCGAAGAAGACCAAGAAATAAAAGAAAAAGCCAGACAAAAGGTGTGATGCTGTTGTGCTCTTGTGCTTTTCTCGCTGTTGACCTATCCTCTTCCGTCGCAAGATTCCCTTCTCGGTCGCTTGCTGATCTAGTCCTCTTCCAGCTTCAGCGAATCTGCTACTGCTCTCTGCTCTTTGCTCTCGTGTCCTGCATCGTTTCTTTCCACCACAACCACCGCCGCCCTCCCAGGAACGTTCGCAACGCTGCTCGCACTTGTCTCAATCCGCCACAACTACAACTTCTAAACTTATCTTCGACGCGACGAGTCTTGTCTTGACTCGATTTCCCTCCTTTTCTTTGCTGAACCGGTGATTCTCATTCATCAGTCAGCCCATTGCTTCCAGAATGCCTACGCCACTCCCTTCGAGTTTTGCCTCGGCCGCTGCTGGCAACATCCAGGATGCCTCCAGCAGAAGACCTGATGGTTCTGTCGGTGCAGAATGGTATGCAATTGCCCTTTGTCTTTTCTCAATTATTCTCTATCCACGGCTTCCTTACACCTCTTACCTTTCTTTTCTCCCCCTCCCCCTCCCCCCCGGCGGATGTGTCCATTTGCCGTCTTGAAACTCCGGGAGAGAGAGAGAGAGAGAGAGAGAGAGAAAGAGAAATTACTTTCGTGCAACAACTAATATAATACCCTTGGCTTTGCAGGTCTCGATCTCGCATGAACGGAGCAACACAAACTTTCCGCCGTCCTTCAGTCGCGACAAACCCTTCTCAAACTCGAGACGTTCCTCAGACCACATCTGCTACGCAACCCGCGGTCGGTGCCTACATCCCCCCACATATGAGCTCGAATCAGTCTACCGCACTCCGCAATGGCGCGGCCGGCGAGAATCGTTATTCCAAAGAGCAGCTGTTGAGTCTCTACAAAGTTCAACGCGAGACAGGGGCTCTAAGCAAACATGTCGCGGAATATTTTGTCGCCGACTGGAATCCTCATGCGGAGACGCCGTCTGCTAACGGAGCCTGGGGAAAGCGGGAGGACTCCAAGGACAATCCCTCTGGACCTGAGGTCTGTTGGGATCATGGTGGGCACGTGGAGCCGTTGGGCCTGGTGAACATGACCGATGAAGAGAAAGAGGTATGCTTCCGTTTTTCTTTTTTCTTTTTTCTTTTTTTTCTTATTTAAATCGTGGCATTCTAACCTCTCCCGCCCTTCCTTGTCGTTGGCGAATTGTCCTGTGAGAGCTTGAAACCGTGCTAAATGATGCAGTTATTCTCCCTTTCGGTCAACTCCCCTCTGAAGCCTCCTCCAACAAACGCCGCCAAGGAAAATGCCGTTCCGACTACTACAGGACGCAAGACATCGGTTTCGTATCCTCAAAACCATATGAATAACTATAACACCTCTTCCCCCAGTTCTGGGCGTCCTGGACCGCGTCGCCGCGAGACCGGCGATACCGTGGGCAACGCCGCGTCTCCTACGACCAGTGGATCCCGCTTCTTCCGCGACGAGTCGAACACTGCCACCCCGCCTCCGTCCCTTCTCCGTCGTAAAACCGATTTTCGCGATACTTCCTCGACCTCCAAGTGGGACCAAAAAGAGAAAGAAGCTCCTGCTCGCGAAGGTGGCTCGGAAGTCGCTTCTCCGTTTGGTTCACTGAAACGGAGTGTGACCAATCCCTTGGCCCCCGCGAGTGGTGGATCAAGCTCCCCGTGGGGGTCCGCCTCGCAAAGTGCCAACTTCTCGCCGATGGGGGCCTTTGGGGCTTTCTCGCTGCCGTCGGGTACTGCTCAGACACCGACTGCGGAAAAGAAAGCGGGATTCGGAAGTCTCCGCGGAGAGAGCCGTCTAAAGGGCTTGTTCTCCAAGGATAGTTCGGAGGATATCGCAGCTTCCGTCAAGGAGAAACCATCTCTCACCAATCTCGAACGTCTGACGGAGACAGACGGGGAGAAACGCGCGCAGTCCCCCTGGGGCGAACCTGTCAAGACACGCACTGGCCGCAGTGAGACCAATCCCTTTGCGGAGGAACCTCGCAGTGGAAGTGCCGCCCTTGGCGGCTCTCAGGATGTGGGAACATCAGCGCAAACCAGTGTTGATCAGCTGGGCTTCTCTGCCTTCGGAATGACATCGAGCATTCCTGGCTTCCGCGAACTGATGCAGAGCCATGAGAATTCCCGCAATCCCACTCCGAGCCTGCTCCAGGGTCATGAACCGACCAGCCCCACCAACACCAATCCTTACCAGAGCCCGCATGGCGAACGTGTCGATGCGGATGACGTCGAGACCGACGGATCGGACATTCAAAACACCCACCATCCCGGTCTCACCGAATTGCGGGACACCTCCGGTCCCTTTGGTTCGATGCGCCGAGTCGGATCCGGGATGGACCTGCCCTCTATTGACCGTAGCCAGACTTCGAGTGCGGCAGGAAACCGCAGTTTCTCCGGTCTCGGTGGTCTAGGCGGACTTCCCTCCCTTGGAGGTGCTTCTGCTTGGTCTTCTGGCGCCGTTGGTACCCCTACTCGGGAAAGGTCTGCCTTCCCCACTGGATTTGGAGATCCAATCTTTGGCACCATGGGAGACCTCCAGTCGCCGAGTCTGTCCACGCTAGGAGGCGGTGGCATCTTCAGCCCTGGTATTACGGGCACTGGTAGTATTGGTCGTTCCAGCAAGCTAGGGTCTTTGTTCCCTCCAGCAATGCAGGAGCAGATGCAAGGGGACCAGGCGCGACAAGATCTTGGCAGCCTGGACGATGGCTCTCAGCCACAAGGTAAGAATATAACAGAAAAAGGGCGACAGAACCTGAGACATGAGCTGACATCCTATGAAGAAGGCCCAGCCGATAAGTCAGCTCAACCCGGGACGACCTCCGCCTCCCAGACTCCGGTCTCTGCGATCGGCTCCGTTCCCGTTTCCATGCCCATGGATGTCCCGCAGCCCAGTCTGACACCGGGCCAGTCTGGAAGTAATTCTGGCTCCGTGCCCCCTGCCCAACAGCGAACCATGGTGATGCCTGACCGTATGCGTTGGATCTACCGTGATCCGCAAGGCAACATTCAAGGCCCTTGGACGGGGCTCGAGATGCACGATTGGTTCAAGGCAGGCTTCTTCAGCCCGGATCTGCAGATCAAGAAGCTTGAAGATACGGAGTTCGAGCCTCTTGCGCAGCTAGTCCGACGCATTGGGAACTCGCGGGAACCCTTCCTCGTCCCCCAGATCGGAATCCCTCACGGCCCGGATCCTGGCCCTGGCCATTGGACCGGAGCTTCGACTGGCACCGCTCAACCTCCTTTCCCTGGTAGTTTCCCAAGCTTCGGAACCACTCTGACTGCCGAACAGCAAAATGCCTTGGAGCGCCGGAAGCAAGAGGAACAATATCTGATGGCCAGACAGAAAGAACATCTCGCACAGCAGCAAGCCATGATGAAGCAAATGCAGTTGCAAGGGACGGTTCATCCCAGCGTGCATCCCCATCAGCTTCAGCATCATTCTAGTGCCCACAGTCTTCATAGTCAGCCCAGCTTTGGGAGTATCGCGTCTCCCATCGGCTTCCAACCCTCCCCCATTCAAGGACCAATGCAACAGCAGCAGCAACAACAACAACAACAACAGCAACAGCCTCCATCCGTCGCCGGGTTCTTCGATGCAGCCCCACCGTTGAGACAGGGAGGAGCTTTGCCAAACGTGGGCCCACAGATGATCGGCACGGATTTGGTGAACAGCCAGCATCAGCTTGCGCCTCTCCTCGAACGCCTGAATGTGGGTCGTCCTGACCCGTTCGCATTTGGCAGCCCTTCGTCATTCGGAGGGCGCCAGCCAGATAATCTCTTTCACCCTCAGCAGGTAGCGACGATGTTGCAAGACCGGGCTCGGCTGCAGCAGGAACAGGAACAGTTCGACAGTCTCCAGGGAGACAGTCTCTTCGATCAGCAGCTGCACGAGGAACGACTGCAGCAATTCCATACCCTAAGAGCTCAAGAAGGCGATTATGGTATGCCGCTCGCTGAAGAGATGCTTGCTCAACCTACTGCCCCATCTCAACAGTCCGAGATTGAGCCAATCGGGTCCCCTCAGAAGACCACTGTTAGCTCCGCCGCTGAACAGATCCCTGCACTCGGCGACGAGGCCCCTCTCACTCTTTCCCAGCAGGTGCAGAAGGCCGCGTCTGCTCAGAGACAGCAGCAGGAGCAACATGAACAGCAGCAGCAGCAGCAGCAGCAACAGGAACAGGAACAGCAGGAACAAATCCAAGCTCCAGCGGATGCCGCCTGGGCCATCAAGGGTGATAGCGCGATGCCCCATCCTTTCCCCCCTCCCCCATCCGCATCGCCTCTTCCCGCCCCTGCCGCTCAGCGCAACCGCCAGAACGTGGCCGAATCTCTGGCAGCACACTCGAGATCTCAGACCCAAACGCCAGTTGATGCCCCTGCCACATCGGTTGCTCCATGGGCTCGGGAAGCCAATGAGGTACCCAAGGGACCTTCCCTGAAGGAGATCCAGGAGGCAGAGGCTCGCAATGCAGCACAGCGGGAGGAATTGGCTGCTGCGGCTCGTCGCGCCCAGCTCTTGGCGGAACAGGAGCGCCTGAGCCAAGCTCAAGTGCAGGCCCCTGGCCTCCCATCCACCGCTAACTGGGCCAGTGCTGGATCGCCTGCTACCCCGACGTCTGCTGGTTCCGTATGGAACAGCAAGGGTCAGACCACTACCTCCACTGGTGCCGCGAAGAAGACTCTGGCCCAGATCCAGAAGGAAGAAGAAGCCCGCAAGCAGCGTCTGGCGGCGGCGGCGGCCGCCGCCGCGGCCGTTACTCAAAGTGCCACCCCGACTCCTCCCGCTCCATCCACTGGCAAGCGCTATGCGGATCTCGCCAGCAAGGCTCCCGCTTCGCCCTCCGTGGCTGCTGCTACTCCCGGCGCCTGGACCACCGTCGGCGCTGGCGGCAAGGCCAAGCAGCCCCCAGCCGCGCCTGCAGGCCCTCGCGCAAGCAGCGGTACCGTCCCCTTGGTGGCGTCTCCGGCCAAGCCCCGAGCCGTCCCAGTTGCCACTCCTCGGCCCGTTGCTGTTGGCAGCACCTCCCCTTCCAACGCCAATCGCGCACTGGAGGAATTTACCAAGTGGGCCAAGTTGTCCCTGGGCAAGGGGCTCAACAGCAACATTAACGGTGAGTTTTTTTTTTTTCTTTTCTTCTCTTCTGGTCCTAAGCACTTTTCTTTTCTGTTCAATCAAACTAATGTGAACTTTAGTGGATGACTTTGTCCAACAACTGCTTTTCTTGCCCGCCGAGGCCGAGATCATCTCGGACTCGGTGTACGCCAATTCGCAGACCTTGGATGGCCGACGATTCGCCGAGGAGTTCATTCGGCGCCGCAAGCAGGCAGACAAGGGCATCGTTGACCCTGTGGCTCCTAGTGCGTTTGCTGACCAGAAGAATGCTGCTGGCGGTGGCTGGAGTGAAGTGGCCAAGAAGGGCTCGTCCAACGTGCACCGCGAAGAGGAGAGCAGCAACGCGGCGTTCAAGGTTGTGGCACCCCGCAAGAAGGGCAAGCGGTAAATCCGCATTGAAACAGTAGCGATTGATGGATAGTCCGTGTGGACTACGGATCATGGTGTTCTTTCGAGTCAAGATGGTTCACAGCGGATACAAGTAAGTCCCTGTGAGGATCTTTATCTACGCCCCGTTTGGGTATCTACTCTGTTGTCACTTTCTTGTATCATATGTCTGCACCGAATAGCAGTAGTCAATTCTTCTTGTCTTTTTATTTATCTGTCTGTGTAGCCTCGATGAGTTGTTGACCTGCCACTTCTTCGACTGGGTCTCTCTTCCTATACAGCTGCAGGCCGACGATATCCGCCGCATACCTCGTAACGGTCTCGGATGTAGATGATAAAACCTCTTGACGACCAATTGAGAAGCCCAGTTTCAGTGCTGTCGTCTTGTCATCTGCAATGACTCCGAATTGTCCTGTGGAGCGTGTTGTGGTGGATGACTCACTGCGCTCTCTCGTATTTCATTAAAAAGTGGAGTTTATCTACAGCTTCTTCCCCCGCTCTGTTCCGTTGTTCGGCTTCAGTTCTTCACCATTACACTCTCCCACCAGAATGTGTTCTTCTCTCACGCCTTTTGGGCCTTCTATGGCCAAGGAGCATTTCCTGTTCGATGCCGACTACAAGAATCTCAATCATGGCACGTCTCTCTCCATGGAAATACGCTTCAAACCCGCTAACCTACGGAACAGGCTCCGTTGGCACGTATCCTCGTGCCGTCCAGACGGCTTTCCAGGACTTTCAGTCACAGGCTGAGGGCCGTCCCGACCCGTTCAGCCGGTATACGCAGCCACGGCTGATTGACGAAGCGCGCGCCGCGGTGGCATCGCTGCTCAACGTCCGCACCGACGAGTGCGTGCTGGTCAAGAACGCCACGACCGGTGTCAATACCGTGCTGCGCAACCTTGAGTTTCAGCCGGGCGACGTGCTCGTCTACTTCGACACGGTCTACGGCGCCGTCGAAAAGGCGCTCGTCTCGCTGCTCGAGACCACCCCGCTGCAGATCCGCAAGGTCCCGTACCAGTTCCCCATCAGCCACGATGAGCTCGTCGCCCGGTTCCTGGCGACCGTCCACGCCGCCAAGGACGAGGGCTTGAACGTCCGCGTCGCCGTCTTCGACACCATCGTCAGCATGCCCGGGGTGCGCTTCCCGTTCGAGCGCCTCGTCGCCGCCTGCCGCGCCGAAGGCGTGCTCAGCTGCGTCGACGGCGCCCACGGCATCGGCCAGATCCCGCTCGACCTCGGCGCCCTGCAGCCCGACTTCTTCACCAGCAACTGCCACAAGTGGCTGTACGTGCCGCGCGGCTGCGCCGTGCTCTACGTGCCCCGCCGCAACCAGGCCCTCATCCGCACCACGCTCCCGACCTCCTGGGGCTTCATCCCGGCGTCCACATCGCCCGCCACCGCCGCCTCGACCATGCGCCGCAGCGCCGGCTCCAAGTCCCCCTTCGAGCAGCTCTTCGAGTTAGTCTCCACCACCGACGACACCGCGTACCTGTGTGTGCCCGCCGCGCTGAAGTTCCGCGCCCAGGTCTGCGGCGGCGAGGACCGCATCTACGCGTACCTGGAGACGCTGGCGCACGAGGCCGGCGACGCCGTCGCCGCCGCGCTCGGGACCGAGGTCCTGCAGGAGCCGGGCCTGAAGGACGGCGAGGTCAGCCAGCTCCGCCGCTGTGCGTTAGCCACGGTGCGTCTGCCTATTGCGGTGGCTGCGGCTGCGGCTGCCGGGACCGGCGCCCGTGCGACCCTGCTGTCGACGCAGGTCGCCGAGGTCGTCGGCGATATGCAGCAGTCGCTGGTGCGCGACTACGGCACTTTTCTGCCGGTGTTTGCGCATGGCGGGTGGCTGTGGACGAGGCTGAGCGCGCAGGTGTATCTGGAGAAGAGCGACTTTGAGTGGGTGGGTGGGGTGCTGGATGAGCTGTGCAACAAGGTTGTGAGGAAGGTTGCCGTCGCGAAGGAGTGAGCGAGTTTATCGATTACAGACAGAGATGGGGGGTTGAGATGGCTCTTGTATTTACAGACGTACGCACATAAAGAGGTATTTATGCGTATACCATGCACACATCAAGTGATCTACACACATAAAGAGGTATACACCCGTACACACCGAGAAAGAGAGAAAGAGAGAGCGAAAGAGAGAGAGAGAGAGAGAGAAAGAGAAAAGGTCAGCGGCTATACACCCTCCGCCCATCAAAGTACGTAGCATATACCGAGGCGTCGAGCAACCTCTCCGCCTCCCACGCCATATCCACAACCGCAAAATCCGCCTTCTTGCCCGCCTCCAGACTCCCCGTGAACCCGTCCGCGAAGCACGAGTACGCCGACCCGGCCGTCGCGGCCGTGACGGCCTCCAGCAGCGACAGCCGGAAATGCGGATTGACCGTCTCCAGCGACGCGGGCTCGCGCGCCGACCGCCGCGTCGTCGCCGTGTACAGGTTCCGCAGCGGCAGATGCGGCGCCGTGGGCGCATCCGTTCCGATCGCCAGTGGTGCCGGCGGCGGCGGCGGCTGCGCCTGTCTCTGTCCCTGTCCCTGTGCCTGCGTCGTGGCCTCCTTCGGCCGCACGAACTCTGCATACGCAAACGCGCGCGCGCACCGCTCCTCGCCCAGCAGCCGCGGCCACGCGCGCAGGATCGCCGGGTCCGCATGCACCGGCTGCACCGACGCCGTGATGCCCAGCGCGCCCAGCCGCGCCGCGTCGTCCGCCGCCGTCAGCTCCAGGTGCTCGATGCGGTGCCGCCGCCCGCGCGTCCCCACCGCCTCCAGCGTGTCGATGGCCAGCCGCACCGTTGCGTCCCCGATCGCGTGCAGCGCGCACTGCAGGCCCGCCGCGTCCGCCCGCGCCACCACCGCCCGCAGCATCTCCGCCGGCCACAGCGGCGCGCAGTTGACCCCAGCTCCGGCCTCAGCTCCGGCCTCGCTCGCCCCCGAAGCGTACGGCTGCAGCAGCGCCGCCGTGCAGGCGTCCACCACCCCGTCGCAGATGACCTTGATGCCCGCGATGCGGAAGTCCGGCGAGGTGCGCGCGTTGTGGACCGCGTGCAGGGCGATGGCGCGGTCGACCTGCGCGAGGCAGGCGTCCACGGTGGCGGCGGGCGTGATGATCCAGTGGGCGGCGATGCGGAGCGGGAGCGGCTCGCGCGCGCGCAGCTCCAGCAGCGTGCTCCACGCGTTCTCGTCCATCGCCATCTCCACGACGCCGGTATAGCCCGCGGCGTTGTAGGCGCGGACGGCGGCGCGCACGAACTCGCGCTTCTCCTCCGCCGAGGCCACCGCGGCGACGTGTGGCCAGACGAGGTTCACGGCTGCGGCCTCACTGAGGAGACCGGAGGGGGCGCCGGCCGCGTCGCGGTGGATGGTGCCGCCGGCGGGGTCGGGGGTGTCGGCGACCTGGAGCTCGGCGAGCGCGGCGCGGTTGCACCAGGCGGAGTGCAGGTCCTTGGAGTCGATGAAGATGGGCCGCGGGTCGAGGTCGTCGAGCATGCTGGCCAGCGCTTGTCCGTCGGTCATGGAGTGCATCCAGCCGCGGCAGAAGAGGCGCTGGGCGTGCGGGCGCTCCTGCGCGGCTTGCTGGATCGTGGCGCGGATGTCGGCGAGGTTCCTGCAGTGGCTGAGGTCGATTTTGGAGAGGCTCGCGCCGAAGAGGAGGAGGTGCATGTGTCTGGGCCTGGTTAGTTGGTTGATTTTTCACCGACCCAGAGTTGGGACATACCCGTCGATAAAGCCGGGGATGACGGTTCGCTGCTCCAGATCCACGGTTTCGACATCTGATTCTTGCTTGGCCAGAGCGATGGCTTCATCGTGCTCGTCGCCGATATACGCTATCTTGTCATCCTCGACGATCATGCAGCATGAGACTGGCTCGGATTGCGCCTTGCCACTGCCTCGGACGATGAGGCCGTTGGTGAATATTGTTTTCATGGTGTTTCCTGGGGCCGAGTACAGATATGGTGGCTCTGATATGTGAAGCGCAGGGCGACGCCGACACCTGTCTCCTTTTAAATACCGATCCCCTGGCGCCGCGGGGGCGGGGCAGGCTGTGGAGCTTCATGATAGTGTAAGTGGAGCAGCAAAAGGGCGAAAGGACCGAGGTGATAAGGAGCTATCAGGTTTCGATTGCGAAAGACGATGAGTGAGGTTGTTGGAATGCTGCTGGAAATGGACAAGTCGGGAGAGGTTGGATGGTCATGTCCAGCAGATGCTCTGAATTCAATTTTATTTACAATCACACATGGGCCTCGTGGTAATCATCGTCTTATCCCAAAAAGTTCCGTACTCCCCATGGCCGGTTATGAACCAACAACAGCCTGGTTCCATCTATAAAACACGATCAGATGCGAGAACACCCTGTAGCCGTCGCCATAAGCAGAAAAAAAAAAGAGCAATCACCATTAGTCTAGTGCAGTGAGGCCGTATTAGCCGATGGATCACCAACTGCCAAACACAGATGATCATGACTGATTGCCTCCAAAATGGCTCCTGACCCATCCAGCAAAGCCGCCACCGCCGTCGCTGTGACTGGAGTGTTGTTGGCCTTGCTCGTCTGTTTCCGAGGTATGTGCTTGTGGGTTGTTCCAGGATTGCTGTTCAGACCATGTTGCAGGCTGCCCGCTGTGCGGCGGCTGCTGCTGCTGCTGCACACTACTACGGCGACGCTGAGGAGAAATAGGTTCAGGGCTGTCGCCAATGACCACTGGGTTTCTACTCGTACCCTCCGTTCTACATAGACATTATTCAGATATTCTTATCATAGTTGTAGATAGACAAAAAACTTACTGATTGGAAGAGTCGATCCCCCGACGACAATGTGGACAAGTGTTGTGCTGGGTCAACCAGGCCTCAATGCAGGCGTAGTGGAACCAGTGCTTGCAGGGCAGGACTGTGACCTCCGTACCGACCTCGACCGATTCCATGCAGATGGAGCACTCCGCTTTGCCTTCGTGGCCCAGCATCTCCTCGTCGACTTTCTTCTTCGGTAGGGACTGGATGGCGCTTTCGGGGGCCGGCGGAGCCCCTGTCCGATTGATATTCTGATCGATCAACTGGGAGATGACCCGGTCCAGCTCCTCCTGGGAGTAGACGGCGTCCCCATGTCGATCAACGTTGAGGAGAGTCGAGAGGATGGCCAAAGGGTTCGGACCGGTCATGACACGGACTCCCCCTGTGGTGTTGCCTCCAAAATCGGCGCGGAGTAATTCCAGGATACTGCTCGAGTCAGCATGGCACATAGATATGTTCTACCCGAACAGAAAGAATGCTTACTCGCCCAGAGTGCCCAAAGGCGGTGCCATGGGCTGCGGACCATCTGCGTCTCTTGGGAACAACCTGTCGGTGGGAGTGAATTCCGGCGAGTCTTCCCGAAGGCGATGCGTATCCGAGTCTGATCCATTTGCTTGACCGGTGCTGTCACCGTGGTCTCTATCCTGGCTCCGGTTCTGGTTCGGGTTTTGATTCTGGCCCTGGCGATAAGTCGCAGCCAGCCCCTGGAAGATGGTATCCAAGCTGCGCATGACCGGCATCAGCGGATCAATCGGCATTTGCCTCTGTTGATTCGAAGCCTGTCCGGTGGCGAAGCTGCGCCCTCCCAGGTTCGTCGCGGTCGTAGTAAATGTCCAGCGACCATCGGGAGATCTGTATGTTCGATGCGAATAGCCGGGACGCCATGGAAACTGGTCATCCTGATCCTCTTGGTTCGCCCACGGATTATGATCGGCCCAAGGGTTCACCTGGGGTTGTGCGTGGCCATCGTGAAGCGCTGAGTCCTGGGACGGGCGCGGGGAGGGTTCTTCTGTATCGGGCGGGATTTCGATCTAAACCAGGTTAGCAGGAGACTATCTCTCATTCTGGATCGAGACGGGGCAAGTTGCGAACGTACGATCTCTGTAAAATCGGATTGACAATGAGGACAGTTGAGTCCGTTGGCAGCGTCTTTCAGCCAGACCCCGCCACAGGCATGGCAGAACATACGGTCCCCCGCATCAGCCATGGCGAGGTTGTCCATGAGACCGTGAAGGATGGAGGATGCAAGTGTTGGAAGAAAAGTCCGAGAGGAGCAGAGAGGTGAGAGAGCAGCTATCGATGAGAGGAGCACCAGCAGGTCAGACAGTGAGAGATTCGTGTGTCGTGGTCCCTAGGATGGCCGAATCCCCCAGAATCATAGTGAAGGGAGGGGTGTTTCTTTTCACCAGCAGAGTAAGCGATTCCTTGTTGTTCCTCTCGGAGAATGATTGCAACCAGTGACCAGAAAGAAAGAAAAAAAAATTAAAAAAAAAAAGACAACGAGGCCGAGGAAACTAGATAGACAGTAGACAGTAGACAGTGGACGGTAGAGCAGCGCAAGCCAGGCGAACAAACAAGCCGCCGTTTGGATGCGGATGACGTTGACAGCTGATTCACTCGTCCTGTGGCGGATTATACTGAAGTTGTCTACTGACACTCACCCAAAAAGAGTCATTCACTATGTTGACAGCCCAGTAAGTGGAACACGTAAATCCTGCCAGTTCATACAAAGAACAGATGAAAGAAGAAAAAATAAAGAAAAAGAAAAGATGACAGACAACAACGCTGTACAACATGAATCCCCCCATCCCGAATAAAATCCAACCTCGGCATCAGTATCGTATCCTCTGTTCTGCGGTTTCGAAAAGTAGACAAACAACAAAAGCAAAAAAAAAAAAAAAAAAAAAAAAACAACGCCTCATATGCTAAACAATTCCCGGACAGGAGAGAGAGAGAGAGAGAGAGAGAGAGAGAGAGAGAGCAAAGAAAATGAGAGTCAGAGAAATCCCAGCCGCAATATAGCCCATCATATATACACATACACCCGTGTCCCCCATCGACTGGGAAGAACTGTGGCCCTCTCATCGTCTCTTGGCAGCACCCTTGAAGACGATTCCACCCACCAGTCCAGCTGCCAGAGCCAAACCACCTACGATCGCAATCCCCATCAGACCCTCTTTCGAGACCTTGTCATCGATGAGCGATCCGAGGCTGGCCGCTTGGAGGTTCGCCGGCTCCTTCTCCAGGAGGAGGTCGTTGTATCGTCGGGCTTCGCCGTAGTTCCCAAGCTTGTAGTTCCCGAGGGCTAGGTAGTAGAGGCATTCCCGCCGGCGCTCCGGGGAGGCGCGGAAGATCTCTGACAGGAGACGGACGCCTTCTTGTTGATCGGTGCGAGCGTTGGATTTGATCAAGCCCTGGCTTTGTCAGCTGTGACCGACAGTCTAAGGAAGAAAAGAAGCTCCTCGTCTTCAAGTAATATCGTCGGGAGACATACCCATGCGTAGTTGAACTTCGTCTGGATTCCCACATAGTCGCCCTCCTTCTCATACTGTGCTCGCAGGACCTGGAGCTCTGCTGGCTTCAACGGACTGAAGGTGGGGATGTATTAGCTTGGTGTGCAGTTCACTGGGGAATCTTCGGAATGTAGCTGACCTCTCCGCATCGGCCGCATCTAGAGCAACGACGTGGTTAGTTCTGGTGCACAAGTAGAACAGCTGCAGCCTGGGGGGTGTGTACATACATGGTAGATTGGATCCCATCTTGTGTGTTTAAGTTATGGCGATAGAAAACGTTTGAGTGAAGAAGACACCGCTAGTGAGGATACTTGAAGAAAATGTCCTTTGAAGCTGATAACCAGTCGGAGGAAGCAACGAGAATCACCGAGTCGAAGTAGGCATCATATCGCTACCTATTCTTCATGTCTCTCCATCCAGTTGTTTCGTCACCCACTAACATGCGGCTGTGCATCCACAAGCTGTGGCGCTGTGGCGGTTGCTCCCCCAACGGCCAAATCGTCAACACCAGCGAATTCCCATCAACCAGACAGTACTCAAGCTCCAAAACCAGAAGAGGAAGACGCTACTACGCAAAACAAAAAGGAAAAAAAAAAAAAAGAAGAGACCTACTCGCAACATCTAAACCCTTCTATCAAAATGTTGCTCGACGAAGATCCCGCGACGGTATGTCATCCATGCATGTCGTCATCCTACGGACTCCAGACTGACAATCTCCAGCTCATCCATCACACCATCGGCAATTTCAATATCCAACCGGACAAGCAAGCTGTCACCCGCATCAATGACTCCTTGTCAACTCTGCAACAATCCCGCGAACTCCGGAAGCGCGATGCCGAGTCCGCTCTGCGCAAGCTCTCCCGGAACCTCCAAGCTCTGACCACGCAGCATGAGGAGGCCGTTGCAGCGCACGACTCGGCCAAACACGGGGCGCAGATGGTTGAACTCGACACAAAGAAGTTCCGTATTGCCAAGGCGGCGACGGAGTATGAGATCGAGGCGGAGCGGCTGGAAGGCGAGCTGGAAATGCTCAAGGAGAGGTTGGCCGATCTGGAAGCCCAAGGACTGGAGGGTGATGAAACTACGCGAAGGGAGAGAGAGGCTGATGACGCGACTATGTGAGTTTCAGCTTTGGCGTCTTCATGAGCTATGAGGAAGAACTAACAGTGTTGAACAAGTTTACGGCTCAAGATCTACCGCTCCATGGGCATTGACATCGAGGCGGACGACGCTGGCAACTTTGGCAAGGCGGTGATTCGGAACAGTCGCAAGGGAGATGTGCACGTGGTCAACATCGACCCGAAGTTCTCGCGGTTCTTTTATGCCAACTACTTCTGGTCGACGATGCAGGGTTGATCGAGTGTGCAGTTTCTCTTTACGGCGTATGACTACCGGGCGGGGAGTATCTTTCAGGCGTACAGTTGGAGTCTGGGGACTAATGATGTGATGTTCATGGTGTTCTTCATGTGTTTGCGTCCTTTCTTTTCTTGGATATACCCAAAGGTTTATGCAGTATTTCAACGCAAGATGATGTCTATCAGCTTTCTTTGTTATTGGCAGAATCGGCCATTATAAACGGGGCAAGGCCTGCCTGTGCCGCGGCGATGACGGATGGGTTCAATTATCCTCACCAGAAGACTGTGACTTGTTCCGAAGCGATTGTAGGACCTTCGCCCTATCTGCATCAGTCAAAGTGCTGCACGTCCCCTTCCCTGACAAAAGCGGCTTCTCATCAGGATACAGCCGCTGTATCAGATCCAATAATTCACCCTGGCGACTCGTGGGCGCGTCGGCACCCGAATCCCACAGCTGGAGCCAGTCAGCCTGCAACTGAGCCATGTGCTCCTCAACCTGATCCATAGATGGCATTTGACACCCATCCCAGGTCAAGCCGATCCGCTTGCGCGACCCAACATCACCATCACCCCCACCACCGCCATATAACATCTCCACCCCCAACGGCCCCAACCCCAGCTCCTCCACCCGCGCATTCCACAGCGCCTGCCGCAGCTCCCCGTCCCGCTCGACCATCATCCATAGAACCGGCCACGCACTGCGCGCCATCGCCTCCCGGACGCCCTTCGTCGCCTCGCGCGGCCCAACCAGGACCCCGACCTTGGCGACGCCGCGCCACCCCACCGGCGCCGACTGGCGGAATGTGCCCTCGAGTTCGCGCACGAGGTTCGGCCCCAGCTTCGTCTTGAGAGACTTGCACTGCACGAAGACGCGGAGCGGGTGTTCGTGTTGCGGGAGGTGCCAGGTGCCTACGAGGTCGATGCCGGCATCGTCGCGGCCGCCGACGCGGTGGAGGTCGAAGGCGGAGCGGCGGAGGGTTTGCTGGACGGTGTATTCGTAATGGGTGCCTATGTAGGAGGTGCTTGTTTGGGGGAGTGAGGTGCGCTGTGCGTAGGCGAGGAAGGAGTCAAGGTCATTGTGGTGTTGGGAGGGAGAGGGAGGGCGAGGTGGGAGCTTGAAGAGGCGGCGGGTGAAAGAGTCGAGGTGGTGATTGATCGGGCAGGCTGAGAAATGGCGCTGGAATTGTCTGGTGAGAAGGGAGGTGTGATTCATGTCAAGTCATGTCGTTGATGTGAGCAATTCTTCCTGGATGATATAGCAGAGTGGTTGGGGAAATTTGAGACCTGCGCAAAAAAGAAAAAAGAAAAGAAAAGAAAAACAATCGCCGCTTCCTTCTCCGCATCATCCATCCACTTTCTCCAACTTCTCTTCTTCTTCTTCCTCCGATCAAATGAACACTTCCCCATCGTCACAACAACAATAACCTCACCCTCAACCCTGACAAACACCGTATCTCCATCATGGCCGACATCCTCACCCAGCTCCAGACCTGTCTAGACCAGGTAAACCTCCCTCGCCTCACCACCACCCAATCCACCCCCACCCCCAAGATCTAACCACATCCCAGCTCGCAACCCAATTCTACGCAACAATCGGCTACCTAAGCACCTACCACGACAACTCGCCCGCAACAACACCCACCAACATCCCCAACGCCGCCCCCGCCCTCGCCAAAATCCCCAAGAACTCCACCGCGCCGCCCGTCCCCGCCGGCGCTCCCGTGCCCTCGCAATCCTCGCCTCCCCCACCGCAAACCCAGCGCGGCGCAAGCGAGGCCGCCGCGGACCCGAACCTGCCGCCCGCGCCGGACTCGCCGCGCACGTTCGCGAGCCGCCAGCGCGAACTGGCTCGGGACCTCATCATCAAGGAGCAGCAGATCGAGTATCTGATCTCGGTGCTGCCGGGGATTGACTCGTCCGAGGCGGAGCAGGAGAAGCGGATTCGCGAGTTGGAGGCGGAGTTGCGCGGCGTGGAGGAGGAGCGCGAGGCGAAGATTCGAGAGTTGAGGACGTTGGGGAGGACCTTGGAGAGGGTCATGGGGGCGGTGGAGACGGGCATCTATGGGGATCGGGCGGTGTTGGAGAGGGATTCGTGAAATGACTGAGAACTGGTTGTTTGCGATTCGGGATGATTGTTGTGGTCGAGGCAAGGCATGCTGAAGCGAAATGCTATATCCGGGTTCGTGGCTATGACAAGTGGAAGCTACGTCAAGAGCAACATGATTGAAGTCTACGCGCTATGTATCAATTCCTAACCCGGTATTGATGGAAATGAATCACCATTAATATGATTAACGAAATCATGGACTCGCGTCCCGGCCCTCTTATGTAGCTTTCCCTATAACATCTCTCCCAGATGATGGCATCTATGCATGCGTGTAGCGGTGTATGATGTTGAATGTCACAAATGCAGCAAACCCCAGTAAAGGCAGAAATCTCATTCAAACTCCAGAACCATAGGGGGAAAAAATGCAGTCCAAGGCAAAGGCAACTCCGCGAAAAGCAAAACCGTGTCAAACGCCCGGGTATCAAAGTCCGTCTTCCCGTGTCCCCCAATTAAGATTAAGTGTCCCGAAATGAAATGGTAGAAACCTCCAAAGTATCTGTGGAAGCCTCCAAGAAGAAAGTGCATCATATTGAATGGAGAATGATGGATGCGGCCCCAGATGGGGATCTTCATGTCGCTTCGTGTAAGACCATAGAGGATTCAGGTCCTATTATTAGCCAGTTTGTTGTGGAGACCATCGGCTTCCAACTGGTATCATTTAAAGAGGCTTCTATACTCTCTCATACGATGCTCTTGAACATCTTTCTTGTCGAGTTTGCCCCGGTTCATGCTCATGTCTGCCAGCTGCTGCTTCCTCTTAGCAAGCTCGAAAATCTTCTCCTCAATGCTCCCTTTCATGATGAACTGGACTGTCGTAACATCGCGCGTCTGACCCAGTCTGTGCACCCGATCGATCGCCTGCGCGACAGCTGCCGGATTATACTGCGGCTCCATGATGTAGACTTTCGAAGCCGAGGTCAAATTCAGACCGACACCGCCAGCACCAATTGTTGCTAGTAGGATGGTGGTCTCGTTGTTGCTATGGAAGTCCTCCAACGCTCTGTTGCGCGCGGGGAGGGTCATGCTGCCATCCAAGCGTGTGTAGCCCGTGATGCCGTTGTCTTTCAGTGCAATTTCGATGAGGTCCAGATGCGAAGTCCAGGCCGAGAATACCACGCTCTTGATAGGCAGCTCACTGCCCAATCTTTTGCTCTCTTCAGCAGATTCCATGAGGTGGGCCAACAGCGCCTTGGTCTTCGTGTGTGGCCCTTCGTACTCGCCCAGCGTCTTCGCTTGCCTTCGGTTCTGCTTTGCTTGTTCCTGGTCTCGGAGATATTCCTGGAGCCCGTTGGCAGTGATTGTTGAGTAAGAGACAGGAATCCACCCATCACAGACGCCGCACTTGATCGTGTTGGTGGGTTCGACTTGGCCATCAAACGCTTGCTTCCATCCGGAAAAGCAATCCGGACAGAGAACGTCAAAACAGGGGAGCACGATGGCCATCGCGGCATTCTGGTCACCTGCACCGGTATCTGAACCTGGTTCTTCTAAGCGCTTGCCGCACAGAGCGCAGGCGTCGGCAGATGATTCTTGCATCAAATTAAACATCTCATAGGCCTTTTTGTCTACCACCCCGCTCGATTCGCCTGCACCTTCTTCAAGATCAATTGCATCCTGCACACTGATTCCTTTGATCCGCTGACGGTCTTCACTATCAAGTAGCTCTTTGCCGTGTGCGCTGATCTGTCGCAAGATCATCATGGCTTTCAGGATGTGGTGGTACATCCGCCCCTTCATCTTTGTCTTGTCCTCTCCCGCAATGACCCTCATCATCACATTCGACTCCCTCCGGAAGAACTCGTGCAGCTGCTTCTCCTTCTCCGAGAATTCCAGAGTGATGATCTTATCGTGCCGAGGAGGGATATCAATCTTGTCTTTGACCCGGCGTAGCGTAAAAGAGTCAACAAGTACCCTCAAGCTTGCCAGAACTGTCGCATCACCCGTCTTGAATCGGCTGAGGATATGCATGCCGAATCTGGCTCTGTCGTCATATGGAAACAGTCCAAGAAACTTGGTCACGGAGAGTAAGTCCTCGAGCCGGTTCTGGATTGGCGTACCAGTCACAGACCAGCGACGCTCGGAGTTGAGTTTGAAGATCGCCTGTGTCTGTGCAGCACTCTGCTCTCGAATGGTGTGCGCTTCGTCCAGAACAATGCGGAACAGGTTCATCTTCGTCAAGGGACTCACCCCTCGCTTAGAACTCTTCCGCGACAATTCAGAAAGGACGATGCTGTAGGTGGTGATGACCAAGTCGTAGCTTGACAATTCGTCTACGTCTGTGGTTCTGGAAGAACCGTGAAAGACGTAGTAAGATATTGCGCCCTCCTTCAGGTGCTCCTTGATCTGCGTCACCCAGTTATTGACAGTACTCAGAGGAACCACTAAGAGAGTCGTCTTGGTATTGCGAATACCGGGTAAGCTGCGCACGAGATCTGGCTGCGGTATCTTCTTCGCCCACTCCTGGGCTTGATCCAAAGATGAAGTGGTAAGTGAGAGGATACTCAAGGTCTTTCCAAGACCCATCATATCTGCTAGCAAGCCGCCTAAGCTCTGCGGTGGCTCTTCATCAAGCACAGTGCCACTGATGATCTCGCGATAACGCTTTGCCCCATTGGGACGATATTGAATGCGCCAAAGCGAATTATTATCCTTCTCATTCGGCCCAAACTTGCGTGGTTTCTCCTTCTCAGTCATGAACCACAGTGCTTGCTTCTGATGGCGGAGCAAAGGAGTCACTACGAGACTTGGCGGCTCCATTTCAGGGAGGTTCCCAGCGCTCTGAAGCTGATCAAACATCTTCATCACAGCATCGTTGACCTCTTCAGCGGTGCGAAATTCGAAACTGACGCCCGAACGACTCCTCGCAGCTATGGTGGGCAACAAGGAAGCTGCCTGGGCTCTTCTCCTCTCAGCATGAGGATTAAATACTGGCACTCCTTGCTCGACAGAGAAAGGTGTTCCCAGCCAGACGTTGTGCTGCCCAAGGTGTCTGCCAACTAGCTCAGCGTCCTTCCTTAGACCGTAGAGGTTGATGGATGCTCTATACAGAGCAGAACACGGTGCCCATGGCATTTCGCCCGGCAACCGCCTTCGAACGTCGAGTCGAGCCGTGATGGTGACCTTCAACGCATTGGAGTCAAGCAATGGGGTAATGACAGACGCAGTCTTTGCATCAACCGCTCCGAATAACTTTCCGTGCGGGTCTGAAACATTGATTCTAGTGTTGTTCTGACTTGCTTGCCTCTGCACATCCAACTTGATGGACGGCCAATCATGCGCTGAGTCACCGAAGATACCCTGAGGGGAGGGCTTGGGGACGAGTTGTGCTTGTATCATAGCATTCTCCAATTTCCCATAGCAAACTTTCTGAACACTGAGATTGTTCGACCCAGTGACCTGCAAGTCATCATCATCATTTGCGTTGGCCGACGGATCTGTGAGTCTCGGTTAGCAAACCCAAGAACTGTAGGCTAGGCAAAAAAACTATCTCACCAAGGGTCAAGTCAACAACATTTGGCGTAGCCGGTGAAGGATAGTCCGGTTCCCCCTTGTCGTCTTTCATGTATTCGCCCAACTCGGTATTCCCGTTTCTCGTGATAGCCCCGGTTCTGGCCGTTTTCGATTTCTCCTCGTCATTCTCTGTCTTGATCTTTTTGTAGGGACGATGAACCCGCTTCTCTACGCCGTACATGTCTTCTATGAGACTGCCGGCGCGCGCTTCGACGTCACTATCAAGATGGTCTGAACTGCGTTTCGCATCGTTGTCATCGTCAGAGTGTGCGCTCGTAAACTCAACGTCCAGCGCTGGCTCATTCGTGACAACCTGTCGCGGCGATGAATCTGTACTACTTTGAGCTTCCGAAATGGCTGATTCGGGCTCGAATCTCGATTGCGATTTCGAGCGCCGCTTGGACGAGGGCTGACGGTGCTGCGGATTGAGCAGCCGATGCGCAGCGGAAACCGTGCCGGCTGGCGCAACGCTCGAAGAAGCACCGCGCGGTGACGTGCTCGCGTTTTGAGTGCCTGCTGGGCCGATGAGTAAGTCAACTGGGTCCAAAAACACAGGGTCATCCGGAGGGGAGGGGCAACGGCTGGACGATGGGAAGAGATGAGAGGGTTCATGAGGGGATCCAGGCCGCGTGTCATTGCGGGAGACAGGCGTCGCATACGAGAGATCTGGGTCGTTACCATTCTTTTGTAGCTGTTTTTTGTAGGCCCTTGGGTCCAGAAGCAGGGCGGCGCGGGACGCCATGGTCCCTCGTTCACCTTATGCGGGTATCTGAGACGCTGCGGCGAGTCTGGCTGTCCGTCGCGCCGATTGAGCGAGTCAGAAATAGCGAGGTACTCAAGCTATCCAAGGGAGTCTGCGCAAATAGGAAGAGGGATTCCAGAGTGGAAGATCTCGCAGTGCTCGCGAAGAGGGGAGGTTTATCTAAGAGCATATGACTTGAAGGTGGAGAATGACGGATGGCGAAAGGTTGAGGAGGCTTGGAATGAAGCCGACGAGAAGCTGATCAACATTTGTCCATCGCTCAGCGGCTCTTGAACGATGGCAGATCTCAACCCAAGGAATTTTTGAGCAGAGAGGGAGGAGAAAGTGGCAGATCATGCCCTCACGCGCCGTGGAGTGGTTCTGCCTCGATCAGATATCGCAGAGGGCCAAGACGCCGATAAGAGTTGCTCGCTTATCAAAGCAGCGTCACATGGGCCTCACTGTCACTTTACTTCACAATGAGCACAGCTGGGGAGAAAAGACGCTGGATTATGAGGTATAAAAAAAAAAATTTGTATTCACATCATATACTACATGTTCTGTCACACATTTATGCCGTCCTCTTAGAAGGCGTCGAAATATTAGGAGAGGAACCAGCGCAAAATCTATATACAACGATTTTCTCCCAAACCAATGCCGCACCTGAAAGCAGGACACCCCATGCCAGATTGCCATGATCAACGCTAAACAGGAGAGTGTATGGAAATGTAGTGAAGAAAAATCAAGAAGGGGGAGGGGAAAGAAGTAGCAAGCAGAGGGATGAAGAAAGGTCACAAAGAAAGAGGGCTAGGTTGTGGGGGAATCGAAGGTGTGCAGGGCAGGGAAAGGAAATAAGGTGAAGTAAGATTCGCTGGCAGATCAGCACCAGGTGAAGACCGGGTTCTTACTCTTCACGGCTTCTAATCGCTCAACGATGACTTTGCGGTGATTTCCCTCCATGCCTTCGGCAGCCGCATAACCAAGATCGCCTTCAAGATCGTCGCTACCCCAAACAAATTGTGCTTGGCCATGGGCACTTGATACTGAGCTCTGCTTGCGACGGTGCTTGTGTTCTGGTCTAGAAGGTGGTGGAGGCCAACTGCTGGCGGCGTCCGCCCCAAGGCTTAGGCCGTCGACACTGTCGCGGCCAAGAGTAGCGGGGCTGGCACCGCGAGTCGCAGCTTGTCCAAGCTCACGGTTTCGCGAGAGCTCGAATCTGTTTGGATTCGGCAGTTCATTTGGAGGAGAGTAAAGACCCAAAAGATCTTGTTCTGGTGCCGAATGCAGGGACATGGAGGCACCGATATCCATTTCTTCATTGTCGGGATCATAACGGTCGTGTTTGTCATAAGTTTCGTAGCTTTTCACTTTGCGTTTCTGAGCGTCGGTGGATGGTCCGCGTAGCGGAATAGCAACCGGGACATCCACCAAATCATCCCACACACATACTCTGGTCCTCCGGGTGAGTTCCAGAGGGCCATGGTCCGGGTGCTTCAGAGTTTCAACCACATTCCAAGCCTGTCCCTTCATGACCGCAATCTGCCTTGCAAACATGCTCTCCTTGAAATCATCATCCTGAGAGAATACGCGTCGGAGCGCCATTTGGGTACCGCTCCACCAGGCCGTGGAGGTGAGAAGCGGCAAGAAATGGTCCCTGGTCTTCTGAGAGAATGGCTGACCGATGAGGGAGACGGGGAGGAACAGCCAGCCGAAAGGAAAGCTTCTCCACTAAGAATTGTTAGTAAAACCTCGATTCGACATCATGATAGATGAACAAGACTTACAGCATCAGGATGCTTCCACGGCCATGACAAACTATTGTCAATAGCCCCGATACTAATCGTGGCCTGCGGTTCGGTTGAATTCAGTGGCGTTCCCGTGCGACTCACGGCCACCATGGTCTCGTGCCTTCTGTAGGGTAGTGATGCGGTGCCGTTTCTTTCAGAGTTGACAGAAATAGGACGGGCTGGAGGCAACTGCTCGTCGTCGTCGTCCTGCTGACCTCCCTTTTGTTTGGGGGGTTCGGCCACGATCGATACCTCCTCTGTCTTCCAATCGATTTTAATCATCCAATTATCCAATCCACGGTCAGTATTTCGCATGATGTAGTCCAGAATAACCAGTTTTTCCAGCTCCTCCCGAAACGACTGCTTCAACTGTTCTGTCCAGTAGAACCGGCGCTCCCGACTCTCATCCCGCGGTGATTGACCCGGTACATCGCGGCGGTCATCATATTCGTCCTCATCGTCCGAATGGATCCCTGACGGGCGACAAGCCTCGTTCCATGGCCGCTTCTTGCGCTTTGGAGCATCCTCGGCACGGAACCCAGTGTTGGTCTGGTCGGGCCATGGATGATCACGCAGAAATAAGTTCGCATCCTTGAATCCTTTCAAGAAGACCTGGAAGCTGCCCGCTTTGGGAGGCAGCGACTTCTTGCCCATCCATGCCTTTCTCCGGTCCCAAAAGTCATAAAAGAAAGATTTCGAGGAGAGGTACACAATATCGGTGTAGGGAACAAGGTTGGTCCGTAATCGAGCGTCGAGAACGTATGCCGCTGCTTCCGAGACGTATGATAGATTGGGAATCAAACATGCTCGACCGAAGAAGCAGGGGAACAGGTTTCTGTGCAGCCACTTGGTCCACTTGGGATTCCGAGAAGCGTACGGCTCCTCGTCCTTCGGCTTGAAGACACCCACAACTTTCCCTTCACTATTGCGAGCGAAATAACTCCCTGAACTGCCCTGCGAGATCATGCGCGGCTGCACCCCCAACTCGATGGCGGTCCGGACACTTTCCACAACCGCCTCGAATTCCTCCCGTGCTTGATGTTGTTCAGTCTCAGCTTCCTCCGATTCGAGTTCCTCGGCTGTGATTGGTTTAACTCCTTCAGGAGGCTGGAAAACCGTGTGATAGATCTCGAGTTTCTCCTCCTCATACGTCTTGCCCTTGACCCGGTTGATCTTGAACTTCGAGGCAAACTCTTCAGCCCAACGCTCGAGTCGCGCATTGATGGCCTTGATGTCGACCCCAGAATTCCGCCGCGCACGGCGATAATGCCCACTCAGTCTCCTCCGGTGTTCAGGTGGCGGCGAAAAGGCCGAGGCCATTTGAGCTCGACTGGATATTGGGGCATATCGTGGGGCGGATTGTGAAATCGTACCGGAGGGCTCGTTGAGGTCATCTTCGTCCGAGTAATAGTACCCATCATTGACGCCTCGGTCTTCTTCTTCCTGAGCCAGACGGGCATAGCCGGACGTTGCAGGTCGGTTTTTAGGCATTGTGATGACTTCGAGAGTTTGTCTGTCTCAGGAAGCCGGGGAGGCGAACGGATTCGGGCTCATCTGAGGGTGGAGGCAGCCGGAACAAGAGAAAAACGAAAATTCAGAGAATTGATAAGATAGATTGGGAAGAAAATGAGTAAAGAGACTCAAAGCATTACTGGAGAATCGCGACAAGCAGCGACCCAGTCTAAGGAGAAAGGCTTACGGTTACGGATACCTGGAGCAGTCTCGTTGGATCGCCGTCATGATGAAGCGCGAGAGTGGTCATTACCGTACGGATACCGCCGTTGACCAGCGGCACAATGCATACCAGCCACAGTTGGAGCAAAATTACCGTACGACACCGCCACGACCCTATCCCGTGTGGCTCCACTTAGCCTCCACCGGGGCTCAGAGCTTAAAAAAGGCCCCTGAAAATAAGTCGATAGCATGATAGTTATGTAGTTAGTTGGCCGTTGACCCTTCCCAGTTGGCTTTGGAAAGAGACCGATAGAAGTACTTCGGGCTATCACCATGATGGTACGAGCTTTTCGGACGGTCAATTGCAGTGGGATCGCGGCTGCTGATCGTCTTACATGAGCATTGATTCATTCTTCAGTTCGGCATCTACATACAACGTTCCAATAATGAGCTCCCTTGACCAGCTCCCCAAAGGCAAGGTTAGGAATACGACAATCCTCAAGTTTGATCTCTAGGAAGACAAGCTCAAGCATATACTTGGAGAGTATTACAAGAGCCAACCACTTTTGAACTCATATCACAACTTGAATCCATGCTAGGTACTAGCTTTCAAAGTCACCTCATCTTACCTTCTGCTTCGAATACCGCGAATATGAGGCAGAGACGGTTAGACTACTTCTGTTCCTCGGTGTACTGAATACGGACTATGGGAGACGTCTCCATGGGTTTCCCTCCAATGCTTAGCAGGGGAGCCGAAGCTTCACCTATCATTGTCATGGTCGAGGAATGATCAAGGGGTATTCGAACGGGTGCGCACAAACAAACATGTGGAAGAAAGGGGGACCCCAGGGGCATCCAGCAATCAAGCATGAAAGCCATTTGGGAAGCTCAGAATTTATCTGAAAGGACGAGGTGGTGCCCTGCATATTGGAGCTGGAGCTGCACCTTCCTCTCCATTTTGCTCTTCAAGTCCAACGACATAAGTAGTAGATAGTCCTGGGGTAGAGTAGATACTTCCTATAGAAGGACTTTGATAGAAGCACATCATTATGAAAGACCATGTATATCAATCAGAGTCGAAAAAGAACATCATCCGGGCACATACTCAAACAAATACCGACTCGAACTCGAACAATAAAAACGGCCATTCTGCCAAGCCATCGTCCCGATTGCGATAAAATAATAATCGATAGTCCCCGAGACGCGCGATAGATAGCCAGTTCCGATAATGGCAGAAGGGCTGCTGCGATATTTCCTCACGTCTCGTGTAACTCATCATCTCCATAGATTCTCTGTTTCTCCTTCTTCTCTCTCATCTTCTAATCATCTTTCCACCTTGTGATCCTTCATCTGTTCCCGCGAGTCCATTCATGGTAAATTCCAGTCGCTCCTTTCACTGTCGTTCCTCTGCTGGCCCTGTTTATCGCAGCCTCTTGTGCCTTGATCTTTTGTCTCATCCGACATGATATTTCCCCCGGTCTCACTACTCTTCGTCGGATGATTTCAAAAGCGAAAAAAAAAAAAAAATAATCGTTCAATTGATAACCTCTTCTGTATTTTTTTCCAGTTTTTTTGAAGGAATTGAAATCAAATCCACCTCTTTCGTTCCCCCTTTCTTTCACGAGGCTGGAGTCCCTTCGTGATTGACACAAGAGCGAGCCCAGACGCCGCGGACAAGCAACGGGAGCAGCAGACCTTAGCTTCTTCCTGCCTCGATTCGGTCGACTTTGGCCGAATTTCCAGCCAGTCCTCACCACTCCCTCCACGGTGGCTTCAATTCTTTTCCGGGCGTCGCCCATCGACCCAGCCCTCCATCCTCCGTCGCCGCCTGCCTCCCAATCCCACGACCTTACCAACTACAACCATACAGCTTCCTCCATAGACGGACATTCCGCGTCTCGCCAACTGGGAACGGATTCTATAGCGGGTGCGTTGCCGAGTCTGTCATATCTCGTCCATACCGGTTCTGATTTGTGCTCCTTAGAGCAATCCAACTACAGCCCTGACAATAGCAACGGCATTGGGAACAGCTTTCCCGGCCCTAGCTCTCTCGGACTCTCTGCGCTGGCATCAGTCGCGTCTGCCCCGACCTCCAATCTGCGGTACGTATGGATCTGACATTTTGCTACGATAAGACTCCCCCTGCAAGTCTTCACTGGCGGGGATGAGGATACAACAGCTGCGATAAGCCGGAGTTTACTGGTATTTCCTCCGCCACTCGTTGCTGGGGCCTTACCTTTTATTTTCGGTTGGAGCCAGTCGAGTTGTGTTGTGATCCTCATCCCCAGGCAGATAATGCAACTCTCGTGCATTACCAAAGGGTCAATCGGGTTATCTCTCGGTGCTGACAGGATCTTCCATGCTTAGCGCCTCTAGCAGCAATGCAAATCTAGGCATGGCCAACATGACCTATGCAACCTCATCTCCAGCAGCCATGACCGGAGGACAAGGCAATAATCCAGTGAGTGGCCGAATCAATTCCATTAACTTTCTGTGCCAGCGTGTTCTTATCGCATATGTGCCTTATCTGCCTGCCATGTCGTTTTCCCCTTGAATTGTTCTGTTTTTTTTTTTTTTTGGCTCTGATTTTCTCACCCACTTTCTGTTATCTATGGGTCTTGGCGCTGCTCCCGCACACCACCCGCTTTTCCCAGTTTCTTATCATCAAATCTCTCCCGATCTTATCAACCCATCATTGCACTCCCAATTCATCCACTATCAGCGCATCGCTTCCTCCCCCCAATCCTTCTCTTCCTCGTCGGCTAGCTCTCTACTATCGCGTTCCCTTATAAGACTATGGCGACAACTTTGGCTGATCAGAAGCGTTCTCAATTACAGCCTGTGTGCCAAAATTGTGGCACATCCACCACGCCTCTCTGGCGTCGAGACGAACTTGGCTCCGTCCTGTGCAACGCCTGTGGCTTGTTCCTCAAGTTGCATGGCCGTCCTCGTCCGATCAGTCTGAAGACTGATGTGATCAAGAGTCGCAATAGAGTCAAGACCGCCGGACAGGGACCGAAGCGTAAGGTGAGTCTAGATGACTAAAAAAATTTTCTTATCTCCTCGGTCGACCAGCCCTATGTGAGATAAGGATCGCATGGATTCTGACATCACATCTTGCAGTCCAGCAGCGCTGTCGACGCAAATGGTCTTTCGACCTCGAGATCGGACGATGGCACTCCTCCACTGGGATCGCAGGGATATCGTCGCGCGTCGAGAAAGACGTCACCGGGGCACTCGGATCGATCCAATTCACCAGTATCCCGAACAGAGACTCCAGGAATCTCTGGCCTGCAACAACCACATCCACACATTTCCAACATTGCGCCTCAGCATATGTTCGACAGCGTCACCCTCGCTGATCATACTTTGACCGCGGCCAATGCCCTTCCTTCGTTGCAGCTGCATCAACCAACTCCCACGTCGACTTCTTCCGCTGTGGATCGGCACCCCGATGCACCCCAGACATACGAGGGACTCCTTGCTGCCAACGCCTCATTGAAGACACGCGTGAGCGAACTGGAGCTCATTAATGGACTTTTCAGGGGCCGCGTTGCGGAACTCGAACAGAGTGACGCGACTGCACGCCGCTCTGAGATGATCGTTCGCGACTCCGAAGCACGTCTTCGTAGATCTCTTGAAGAAGCCCAACGTCGAGAAGAAGATCTCAAACGGCGCGTGGGCGACCTTGAGCGGCAGTTGACCGAACAGGTCAGCCTGAACACCATCACGAACAATGACGGTTCTGACGAACATTTGGCCAAGAAGATCAAACTGTCCGATGTGGTAGAACACCCATCCGATTCACCCAACAAATCGCCGAAGAGCATTTGAGCCCAGAGACCGTTAGTCGATTGTGGAAAGCGTAGCCCAACACCTTGCAATGACCAATCTGGAGAGAAGAGAGAGAAAAGAACCAAAGAAACAAAAAAGCACCAGCCTTGCGACGGACCAAGGCCTTCCCCCCCTCATCTTTCTTGATACCCTTTACGAGTATTGTCATTGGCTGGATATTACCGGGATCGATTTAATATCTGTCTTCTCACTTCTACACCCCAGCGCCTTTCTGTTGTCTGCTTTTTCGAGCTGTTTGCTTGGGTTTTGTCGCTCCGCTACCATGATGTTGCCCTTGTCCATGTCGATTAAACATGACGGAGATCGACTGAAGAGCAGCTTGCGTGGATCGACCTACCCATGAAAGAAGCGAAAAAAAAATGAAATCCAAAAAGAAACGAGAAGAAGTGACTTGTACTACTCTGTTCGCTATGTCCACCCATAATCAATCTTCTTATACTCCCACGGCCTTCGCCCTCGCGCTACCAGAGTCACGCTACAAGGCTTGGATGAAGAGCCATAACCAGGTCCAGGAATGGGAAAGAGAGAGCAGAGGAACCTCCAGGGCACACCATTGTCTCTAGGTCTATCGAGCCGTCTCTCTATGATGTTTTGTTTTTTTCCCCTTGTTTTTTTCTGCTTCTCTTTTGCCTCACTATAAACACGTCGCTTCTCTCAAGGGGTCTCGGTCTCATTGTCTTCCACCTTCACTCTGACGGATTCTATGCCTTCAATGCTTTTGATCACTCTTGCTCCGGGGAATCCTTTTCCCTGTTTATTTGTTGAGGGGGATCTTCTTCTACTTTTGATTCCCGATTGATGACCCCAAACCCCCAATCCATGCTTTTCTTTTTCTTGTTCCCTCCCCTTGCTACCTCTCTTCAAATCCTGTACGTTTAGTTTCCTAGAATACTCTCTTTCTAATCGATTGACGAAAAAGCTTTGGCTTAGGTTCTTGTCCTTCCGGGGGTGTTGCTCGTTCGCTTTCTCATTTTCTAATGCGTGATGTCTATGGGATAGATTATCTAGATCTCAAGGAAAGATGGAAGACGTATGTACAATTGAGAGGACTCTGAAACTTGTTCGGAGGGTGATGAGTGGTGGGGAAGCAATAATGGTGCTGAACACCAGAAGCAGAATGAGTGTAGGGAGAAGAAAGAAAAAGAAAAGGCCTCCTAGTCTCGAACGTCTAAATGGTAGCCTGCAAAATTTCAGGGCAACGGTATAGAAGGTTGAGGAAATCAGGAAATCAGGCAATCTTGCTCGTCGAAACTGAGGCACAGGCGAGTTGACACGTGAAGTTGAAGTTGCTTCTGAGAAGTTATTCCTTCCCCTACTTAAAGAAGGGGGGTTTCAGGATTCATGCAAGACGCTCGTGCTCCAACTTCTTGTGTAACACCTTCTTGTGAATCCGGTTCTCACTCCAGATGCTCCACAAGCACACAATGATACCGGCGACTCCGGAGAAGAAGGTCGTGTAGTAGGCTCTTTGATAGCAACCCAGTCCGTCGGGGCAATCTCGCTCGCCGTCAGGGCCGACAATCGAGTTTTTGTCGAATGTGCTGCCATACAGGAGATTGAAGAGGTTGCCGCTCACCACTGGCGCGAGAGTCATCACGCCCCAGTTCTGGGAGAGGCCTCCGATACCAAACGTGTGGGCTACTAGGGATGGGAATACGCCGAAGAGGAATCCGTATGCAAAACCAGTGAATCCCGAAACTACCACTAGCTGATGCGGGTTTGAGATCGCAGCCCCGGCCAGCTGGGTCGCAGTGAAGACAGTCGCTGATATGAGCAGGCACCAGAAACGAGACATGTTCAGTTTCTTGACTAGTAGATCCGAGCCGATACCTATCAGAAATAAGTAAGAAGACGAACTCTAGTTTATGTTGCCCAAGTTGGGGTCGGCATACCACTCAGGAGACGGCCGATGAAATTGCCAAAAGACAGGATAGACACATGCATGACCTGTCGTTGATGGATAAACCGGGGGCTAGCACTATCATCGTAGTGTTTCCAAAGGGCTTTAGCCTATGAAGGTTTAGTAGAGAGACATAGCCAGGGCTGCGATGTCCTCACAGTGTTACCAATATTACTAGTAGCACGTTAGCTTTGGATCTACAATCAAGCATAAAGAGATGGAGGGGGAACCAACTTGATAGTCATCAAACCAATGCCAGAAAGAAGTGCCATTGTGAGGAAGAGTTGCCAGAACTCAATCTTAGGCAGCATCGCCAGGCCTCTAACGTCTGGGTGAGGTAAGTCGATAGGCACATTTGACAGAATTTCATCCGTGTTACATCCATCCAGGGTATCCCGAGACAGCCTCGAGGCCGGTTTAGACACCAACGATGACGTCTCATCGGCATCTGGGTCGTTGGCAAGAGAGTGATGGGAATTCGAGGCGTGTGAAGTGGACCTGGAGTGGGCCCCAGTTTGTGATTCAAAGACACCAAAACTCTGCGTACCTGCTTCATCAGGATCTTCTTGGTAAGATCGTGGATCAGTGGATCGTGCAGCACGCAACTGTCTGGACTCGACGGTCGACTCCCGCTGATTTGGCAACCGGTGATATGAGCCACTTGGGGGCAAGATTCGGAGGAATGGTATAGCGATGAGATTCAAAAAGAGAGTTCCAAGGGTCAACAGTAAAAGGAATTTGCCTGTGTCGTCTTTGAAGGCGATTGCAGACACGGTCGACCAAAAAAGGGCGCTCAGACCAAACGCGGCCAGGGGAAAGGCAGTTGCTGTACCGCGATGATCCGGAAAGTTCGACGCCGCTGTATCCCATGGGATCTTAGCTTTCAGGATTTCAAAGGCGGACCATGGCTGTACAATATAGATATACATACCTGTCTTGATTGACGCAGAGAAGGATGAGCAACTTCCAAAACCGGTAAAGAAGGCAAAGAAACACAGCATTGGTACTCCAAGCGAGCCTTGTCCATTCTCATAGGCTGTACAAGTCCATCGCACATCAGTCACGCAGTTCGATATCATCTTGCTCCAGTCGACGAGTCATACCTTGATAGATGGGGAAATAGCCAAAGCCCAGGGTAATGGCTCCCAGAAACGTCGTGAGGCGAGGTCCCCGAGCATCAGTCAACAGTCCAAGGGGGATTCCAGACGCGTACATGCCCAAATTACCTGCGACACCCTGAAAACAATTAACATGAGCATGATTGCACCCAAACTTCATCCAAGAAGCCGAATTTGCTTACAATGAGGTTACTTTCGGTCGATGACAGCTTCATTCCATCCGCGAATTGAGGTTCCCATGCGGAGTACGCATACTGTACTAAACTCAGCAACGGCCATCACTCCTACGAAGATACATAACGAGAAATTGAAGGAGAATAGCAATGAGAAAAGAAGAATGTGTCCGCACATTAGTACCACAGGCGAGCGCCGTCAGTGTCGCTGCGATCACGGAGATCAAGCGCCTCGACTGATGGGATGAGCCCGTCATGGTTATCGATTAGTATACCGTCGCACAGTTTGTTTGAATGCCAAGTCTCGAAACATCAATAGATAGGAATCCCGAATATAGTAAACGACTGTACGTAGTATACTGATCTCTCTACAAGAGAGATGTCTCAGATCACAGGTGTCAAGTGTCGGCCCGCAGTAGCAGAACCAGGGAGTGATCACGATAAGCTTATGGACTCTGAGTGGAGGACCGTATGAATGGAGATAGATAGTGGCCGGATCGTCGAGTCAGCTTTTGCATACAGAGTACAGGTAGAAGAATATGAAGGAGAGACAGGAAATCTAAGCCAGAAGAAGGAGAAAACGAGGGAATAAGGAACGACGAGTCGAGGGAGAGAGCGTCGTCTGGTGACGGCCCGATGAATGTCGCTATCGTGGGAATGTCAACTTGTGATCTCCGGTGCCTCGGCATTACGTAATACCTGACTCAGACACCCGCGAGACATGATGATGGGGGGGGTCACCTGATGCGCAATGACGATGGGCGCTTTTGCCAAGTGCAGCCGCCTGATCGCTTCCAGTTCAACCTCCCATCGCTGTTGTCAGTTGTCTTGCTCAGTTGATCTGCTTCGACTTTCAAGGTTCTGGGAACAGAGTACCGAATTATCTTATCGATATGGGCGCTCTATTGTCACTGCCCCTTCTGGCCATCCCCAGCGTCAGTACGGTACGTTTTTCCTGATGGAGTTGGCCTACCTGATAAGCCTGCTAACCGGTGTCTATGCATAGCTCATTACTGTCGCAACCTCATGTTGTGGAGCGGCCACTTGCTCGGCAGTATGTGGTGCTTGTGGGAAATTCCAGAACAGGTAACATTATGCCATCGATTTTGCTGAATTGGTAGGGAAGAGAGTGTGGGAGTAGATCGCGATTTGCTGACTTTGAATCTCTGGGATACAGTCTGGTTACGAGAATCGCCTATGCCTTCATTCTTCTCATCAACTCGATCATTTCTTGGATTATGCTCACACCATGGGCGCTTAAAAAGCTGGAACATATGACGATGGACTACATGACAATCCGATGCGATGGGAAAGAGTGTCATGGCTGGGTCGCAGTCCATCGAATCAACTTCGGTCTCGGTCTATTCCATTTGATTCTCGCCTTCATGCTAGTTGGCGTGCGGTCATCGAAGAATGGTCGTGCAGTTATACAGAATGGGTTCTGGGGTCCCAAGATCATCCTGTGGATCGCCCTCGTGGTCATGTCGTTCTTCATCCCGGAGTCTTTCTTTTTGTTCTATGGACACTATATTGCCTTCGTCTGTGCAATGCTCTTCTTGCTTCTCGGCCTAATTCTCCTCGTGGATCTGGCCCACTCCTGGGCCGAGATCTGTCTGCAAAAGATTGAGGACCGTGATTCGCGATTGTGGCGTGGATTGCTTATCGGCTCGACTCTGGGAATGTACATTGCATCGATCGCGATGACGGTTCTGATGTATGTGTTTTTCGCGCGTCAACACTGTACTATGAACCAAGCCGTCATCTCGGTAAGTTGAAGTTGTTGGTCTGACGAATTCCGATGGTACATCACACTGACCACTGCCTGCATAGATTAACCTCGCCCTGTTCCTCGTCATCTCAATTGTCTCTGTCCAGCCCGCGGTGCAGGAGTCAAATCCCCGAGCAGGGCTAGCGCAGGCGGCTATGGTAACGGCATACTGCACGTATTTGACTATGTCCGCAGTATCTATGGAACCTGACGACCGCCAATGCAATCCTTTGATCCGTTCGCGGGGCACGAGAACAGCCACTATTATCCTGGGTGCCATCGCCACGATGGTGACTATCGCTTACACCACTACTCGTGCTGCCACCCAGAGTCTAATGCTGGGATCCCAAGCTGGTCACGGTCAGTACGTCCAGTTGGGTACGGATGACAACGAGCATGGACTGGTCACTCAGCAGCCCAGTCGCCGTGAGATGCGTGCGGAAGCTCTTCGTGCGGCAGTTGAAAACGGCAGTTTGCCAGCCAGTGCATTGGACGATAGCGACGACGAGTCCGATGACTATGACAACAAGGACGACGAGCGGGGCTCGACACAGTATAATTACTCATTGTTCCACATTATCTTTTTCCTGGCGACAACCTGGGTTGCCACCCTGCTTACCCAGCATCTGGATCCTGAGACTACCGACTTTGCGCCAGTGGGCAGGACGTATTGGGCTAGTTGGGTCAAGATCATCTGCGCTTGGGTGTGCTATGCCATCTATTTATGGAGCTTGATCGCCCCAGTCGTTCTTCCGGATCGGTTCGGGATGTACTAGTTTCTTAAGGGGTTTGCTTTTCTTGATACGATTATGGGAGTTGGGCGCCAGTAAGTACAGTTTACCCGGATGTCAGCGTTGTTGTCACTTCTTTCATTCCGTCATGTTATATATGTATCGAGGCTCTATGCATGCACCATAGTGAAGCTCAGTTGCCTTCTAACACTCAGAGGATATAGATGTAATGGCGGTAAATAGTACATTTAGAAAGAGGTTTTCTCTACTCTCTCTTCAAGATCTAGAGCGAATACAGCTAATCAATACTAACTACCATTGTAAAACTCCTTCTGGACGTGGAAAATCCGTAGTATGACTGTATGATGATACTTGAGAGTCAAGACAATTCGTCGCGGCTTATCGGATGATGACTGATAACGAACTTCCCGCGTAAAGTGGCCGACCAGACGCGACGGGATCCCGCGTTTTTGCGCATCATGGCATGAACATGGCGACCATCAAGGCCATCGAGGCCCGTTCGGTAAGTTCCATGTCCCTGTGAATGAATTCTTGTCCACTAATTCTTGCTTTTTGGTGCAGGTTCACCAGATCCAATCTGGTCAAGTCATCGTCGACTTGTGCTCCGTCGTTAAGGAATTAGTCGAAAACAGTCTCGATGCCGGTGCAACATCCATCGGTAGGCTTGCCGATCTTTCTACGTGATTTGGATAGCTACTGACCTGTTGACTGCTAGAGGTTCGATTCAAGAATAATGGTCTGGACCTGATTGAGGTACAAGACAATGGGGCTGGAATATCACCGGAAAACTATGAGAACGTTGGTAAGTCTTTCCACAACTATCCTGGTCGCAGCAAAGCTCAGTGGCTTACCATTGCTTTTCTCGCCCATAGCATTGAAACATCACACCTCCAAACTCTCTTCCTTCGAGGACCTCTCCCGCCTACACACCTTCGGCTTTCGAGGCGAAGCACTCTCGTCGCTATGCGCTCTCTCCGAATTCCGCATCGTGACCGCTCAGGCCAACCAAGCCCCCAAAGCGACCAAATTGGAATTCGAGATGTCAGGCAAGTTGTCGAAAACCCAGGTTGTCGCAGGCCAGAAGGGCACCACAGCATCTGTGGAAGGTCTATTCAAACGCCTGCCCGTACGACGTCGAGAGCTGGAGAAGAACATCAAGAGAGAGTATACGAAGGTGCTGAATCTACTCCATGCCTACGCTTGCGTGAGCACCGGGGTCCGCTTCAGCGTCCGCAATACGATGGGAAAGAATCGGAATGCGGTTGTCTTCTCGACGAATGACAACCAGACTACGAAGGACAACATTGCGAATGTCTACGGCGCGAAGACCCTTCTCGCGCTCATCCCGTTGGACCTGGTCCTGGAGTTTGAGCCGTCCGCTGCGGCGCGGCGAACAGCTGGGGGCGTGCCAAACAAGATCCTGGTTAAGGGACATATCTCCCGTCCTGTCTTCGGGGAGGGACGGCAGACGCCGGATCGGCAGATGTTCTTTGTCAACGCGCGGCCTTGTGGTCTACCGCAGATTGCCAAGGCGTTCAATGAGGTATATAAATCGTTCAATGTCTCGCAGTCGCCGTTTGTCTTTGCCGATTTCAACATGGACACGAATGCATATGATGTGAACGTCTCTCCGGACAAACGAACAATCCTCCTTCACGATGCGGGGGCACTGATCGATGCTCTCAAGCAATCCCTCACGGAGTTGTTTGAGACGTCTGATCAAACCGTTCCTCAGTCGCAGGTGGCCGGTCAGAGGCAACCAGCCCCTAAACAGCAAGTGGGGATCCTGCAGGTCAGTACCCCTGCCAAGCGGTTGAATGACGGTGATGGAACAGCGGGTAAGGAGCCGCAGGGCCATGAGGATGAAGAAGAAGAAGAAGAAGAAGAAGAAGTGGAATCAAGTCAGCCCAATTCTCAGGCCAAGTTGAAAAGTCTCCTAAGGAATCTGGGTGCTGGACGGGAACCGGCGAATTTAACTTCGCCCGTTCCAGCGGACGAGCTAGCGCAACAAAAGACAGCGTCTGTGGCGAGCCCTGCAGGTCGGGGCGAGCCTTCATCAGATACAGTGGACAATGAACTATTTGTCCCAGAGCATGGCACGCCATCCCGTGCATCCTCAATTATCTCTGAGAGAATATCGAGAGGAGCGGTCGCCGGGGGAAATGAGCCGGCGAGGAACACTGCGGTGCCTTCTACGCCACAGGATATCCCTGAATTGCAAGAACGATCAAGCCCTGTCATACAGGCTGGTCAGTCAGAGACGCCGAATGTTATCCAGAATGCGTTTGACCGCATGCGACCCAGACGGATGCCAGCTGAAGTTGCGACGATTACTATCGGCAGTAAGACCGTAACGTCCATGGTAGGAACTGGCATACCCAGGAAAAGAAACGGCGGATCCATTGACTCTAGTGGAGGGAGTCTGGGTCGAAAGAAAAGGATACACACTCCGTCACGCCCCAATATCTTTGGCAAGCACATGAGAGCTTTTGCAGCGCCGGGATCGCAGTTGGAGGAACCCACTAGCAGTGAAGAGGAGATTGAAGGAGATGAAGAGGAGGAGGAGGTCGAGGAAGCGGAAGTGGGACTGGGAGAAGATATAATGGACTGCGATTCTGACGGTTCTCAGTCCTACTGTCCGTCAGATCACGAGGATGACCGCTCTCCAGATGATATCAATCATGAAATGGCCCCGGCAGAAGAGCCCAACGAGTCCGAAGGTCTTACCGAATCTCTGGATGACGAGGAAAAGAAGAAACACGAAGAAGCCGAAGTGCAACGGCTGATCCGCGAAGCGGAAGCAAAGGCCATAGTGCCCCAGGAGAACAGTATAAACCGCGCAAACAGGCTGAGCAAGGGAGCTGCGCATCGCGACTCCACGACTCGTCTGGCGAGCACCATTGACGGGTCGCTCTCCAGAATCGTGTCACAAATGACGAGAGTTCAAGATGGTCTTCGTGCTTACGCCAGGGGTGCTGACTACACTGAAGACGAAAGAGAGGCTACCCCGGCAGGGACAGCTGAAGAGCGGCTGTCGTTGACCGTTACCAAGGATGACTTCGCCCGAATGCGCATCATCGGGCAATTCAACCTCGGGTTCATCCTAGCCACTCGGTCCCCGGAAGGTAGCTCATCCGAAACCAAGGATGAACTGTTTATCATCGACCAGCATGCTTCAGATGAGAAGTTCAACTTTGAGAGGCTTCAAGCCGAGACTGTGGTGCAGAACCAACGTCTTGTGCAGTCCAAACGACTTGATCTCACCGCTGTCGAAGAGGAGATTGTGATCGAGAATCAGTTCGCGCTAGAGAAGAACGGATTTGTGGTCGAAGTCGACGACAGCGGCGACGAACCCATCGGTCAGCGTTGTAAACTTGTCTCCCTGCCCCTGAGCAAGGAGGTGGTGTTTGGCATGCGGGATCTCGAAGAGCTGATTGTCTTGCTGTCTGAAATGCCCGCAACCACCAGCGCCAGGTCCGCTGCTCCCAGCAACATCCCGCGACCGAGCAAGGTGCGCAAGATGTTCGCCATGCGAGCGTGCCGATCAAGCATCATGATCGGTAAGAATCTGACCCAGAAACAAATGGTCCGCGTGGTGCGGAATATGGGCACAATCGACAAGCCATGGAACTGTCCCCATGGACGACCGACTATGAGGCATCTGATGACGCTCGGCCAATGGAGTGAATGGGATGAGTTTGGTCCTGGCGACGAGGACGGGGGTGAATGTGCTGGTCGAACCGAAGCTAATCGCCTGGATGTCTGGAGGAATTACTTCCAAGAGATGGACGAGATGAGCGCCGAGGAGGAGGAGGAGGGGGAGGGAGACGATTCGGAGGCTTAAAGTCTAGAGAACATTTTTGGATATAGATGTTGGATATGTGACATTCTGGGTTAGGTATATATGAAGCCAAAGCAGACGAGATACACAACCCAAACAACACAAGCTATGCAAAAACCCCATCACCACCACCTCAACCACCCCTTCGCCTCGCTCTCCTGTGACTGTCCCTTCCCCGTCCCCGTCCCCTTCCCATTTGCCCTCGCACTCCCATCCCCATCTCCATCTCCATCTCCATCACCCCCCTGCCTCCCCTCCACCTCCCTCAACATCTCCTCCACCGCCAACAAATCCCGCTCAATCAACTCCGCCCAATTCTGCACGTCGCCGATCTCCTTGAGCCCGTCGCGCGCCTGGTCCGCCACCTTCCCCCACTGCTCGTTCTGCCTCGCCAGCTCCGCCGTCGTGCGCGCCAGCTCGGCCTCCTGCGCCGCGAGCACGGCCGCGTTGTCGTGCAGGTTGCGCGCGCGCTCGCGCAGCGCGGCGTCGTGGTTTGCGCCGACGGAGCGGAGGGTCGCGGTGAAGGCGGCTTGGGCTTCTTGGGTGCGTTGCGTGGGGGATGTTGATGTTGATGTTGTTGTTGATGTTGTTGTTGATGATGGGTTTTGGGGGGGAGGGTGGGAGGACATGGTTGTGATGTAGTATGGGATTTTCTTTTCTTTTGCTTTTCTTTGGTGGTGGATGATGGCGTCTGTGTATTGGTGCTGATGGTGCTGATGTTGGTATACCAAGAGAGATGAATAATGGATGCTTGGGATTAATCAATTGATGAATTACCCCACGTCATGTGCCACACTAGAAGCAAGCTGCATCTCTATAGATTAAAGTAGTGTAATGAGTTGTTGGAGATCTGGAGGAAATGCAGGGAATGTACGGATATGCAATGCATGTATGTATATATATATATATATATATCAGTACCTATATCGCATGACAACACAACTATACATGCATATGGATTTGCCTCAATCTCAAAACCCATCATAATGCAGGGAATACATTGAAAAGATGAAAAAGAAAAAAAAAGAATATTAACAAGGCATCAAATCACCAAACACGCAACAACCGCTGGCTATATGCTGCCGAACTTGAAATCCCCCCAAACGCCCATGCATGCCATGTCATCCCGAAAGTGATAAGCGACATAGCTTCACTTGCAAGTGATACAGTGTTGATTAAATAGAAGAGTGATTTTTGTCCAGAAAGGGGGAAACAAAAAAAAAAAGACAGCAAGATGACAAAGATGCACACAATTATCCTCACATGTTGGCCAGCTCGTGGTCAATCTGGCGGTCGAGGAACGCCTTCTTGTCCCCTGCCAAGGTCGTCTGTAGACGCTGTTCCACCAAAGCACGAACTAGTCGATGGGTCAGTACAGATACTTCGGGAAAAGCCGACTGAAGAGAATCAAAACTCACCTTGTTTCTTGGTCACTGTGTCGAGATCCACCTCTGCTAGGCAGGCGCGGATCGCTTCCGTGATGGCTCCCTCATCCGGCCCGGCACCGCCAGCGCGGAAATCGAATGCACTGACAGGTCGAGAGTTCATACCGCCGGCGAGGGGACTGCGCGAGCTCTGTCGGGCGACCCCCAGCAGATTGTCCGTGCTCTGCATCAGCCCCACGCTGTGCCGGCTCGCGCCCATTGGGCTATCCTGGTAATGGCTTAGGTTGCCCATGGACATATGCCGCTGCTGCGGGATATCGGTATACCGGGTAAAGCTCGAGAGATGCGAATTGCGGTTACCCGGGATGTTACCACCAAATGGTGCCGGCGACTGGGGTGGCATGTATGGGCTCGCGTGTCGGCCGTGGGGGAAGCCGGTCAGGATCGTGGATGCAGGCTTGACCGAGGAATAGTTGGAATGGAGATCATCCATCTCCAGGGCGACGTCATCCCCATAGCGCGTAGAGTAGATCTTCTCCTGGCTGGCGCCAAAGTCTCCACGGCGGCCCGGAAGGTTGTTCGCAAGAGCGTAGTCATCCCAGCGTTGGAGAGGAATACTGCGAGGATCGAATGTTTCATCCTCCACGGCCACGACGCGCTTGGTTCCTTTCTCTCCAATGACGATACGCGTGCTACCCCAGCTGAAATCGTCCTGTTTCCAGAATGCATACAGCGGCAGGATGAAGTTGTAGATCGGGAACGCGCAGATGTAGATAATCATCCATCCAATGTGTTGCCACTGTCGCTTGACGATAAAAATGATGGCCTGAAGACCGTACACACCAGCCAGAATGGCAAGTGAGATATATGGAATCGGTCCGCTGTGGCTGGCAACTCGGTAAATGAGATAGCCCAGGTAAACGCATGTCGCCGGAAGGATGACGGTTCCGATCAGATCAAGCAGCACCACAAACCGCATGCTGAAACAACAGAACCCACACAGATCTTTCAGGGCGGCAAGTTCGACCAGATTGTGGATGGTGGAGTTGATCCATCGTCGACGCTGAGACAAAAGAACTGACCAGGTCTCTGGGGCGGCGGTACTGGCATAGGCATCGGGGATAAACTTGTAGGACATGGTAGGGAAGTACTTCGTCATCAATGTGGTGAGGAAACGATCTTCACCCAGAGACAGAAGATTCTTCTTATGAAGCGTATCGATGTCGTTATCCGCGTACTCCCGAAGGACATTGTCCGAGATGATCAGCGGGCGGCCCTTGTCCGCGGTTCGCAATCGATACATGCAGAAACTAGAAGAGAGTTAGTGATGTCCGCATTCACGGGGTTTGCGGGTGTTAAAACTTACCATCCCGGCAGACACGTCACACTCCCAAAGAGAGACTCAAAGGCCTTGGCCAAGTGATGAGAGATGTAGTATTCATAGACCTGAATCATTGTCCACCAACTTCGTTCCTCGTTCTGCAGACTGGTTTCACCGCAGATACCGGCAATCCGTGAATCATTTGCGCAAGCAGCAACCAGGCGGTTCAGAGAATCTTCTCGGACACTGGTATCCGCGTCCACCATCAGGCAGTATTCGTAGAGTTCTGGGTCAACCCCGATGATGTTGTTGATCTGATGGAACATCTCCAATTCCAACGGTGACATTGGAGACCGGTGGTGCACCCGGTTCAGGAAGTTGAGCAGGAGAATTTGCGAGTCACGCTTACCCCTGTTTCCAGGCTTCGGCCGGCTCTGCTCAGACTCCTTGCCGACCTTGACGACGACAATGTACGGAACCACGTTACCCTCATACTCATAGAGACCAGAGTACACCTTGCCATAATTCAATAAATCGCTTCCCTGTCCGATAGACTTGAAAGGCAAGGCGGGAGGGTCAACCTTGGGATCGACACCCAAGATGTCCAGAACGATCTTGGGAGTAGGCCGATCGTTGCCGCCACCGACAATCATACCGTCGCAGATGACAAAGATGAGCTTTCGCTTGTTGTCGTACTGGAGAGCAGTCAACGAGTCAAGACCTTTGCGAAGTGCGTCTTCACCTTCCGTATAGGCTGGCACAAGACAGATGACGAATTTGTCTTGTGGAGCTGGACGGCGCTTGGATCCTAGCTGCAGAGCTGCAAGAAACTTGACAAGAACCACGGCACCGATAAGAACAGTAAAGGCCAGCAGAATCCAGTTATTGACAGTACACTTAGGGCTATCTCGGAAGTCGACTTTTCCTTTGTAGAACACATAGTCGAGACAGATCTGAGCATTCCGGAAGTCTGGAGTGTCCTGCCATTTGTCCGTCACATCTGTGCCCGCATTGTCTTTGAAGAGGTCGGTGACACTTTTGGGCAGATAATCGTAGGCATCTAGCTTGTTCATCGTTTTGTACGTGTAAAAATAGTCCGTTAGATCATAGACATTCTGGTCCTTGATGACCCAATATCGCTGATCGTCATTGGCTTGTCTCTTGACGGTGTCTCTTGTCCAAACCAGATCTCCCTTATAATATTGCCGGATCTTTGGCAGGAAGATATCCTCGTACCAAGTGATGTTATGCAATTTAGTGGTCGGATCGGCTTGCAGCCGGGGACCTGAAGAGTGCACCGAACCGGGGTATTCGACAAAGGTCTCATTGTAGCTGAGGGTGATCGACAAGTCGGTGACCATTGGTGAGCAAAATCGTGTCAAGGGAGGAGGAAAATAAGGATCCAGATTCTGCCCCCTGAAGGGGTCCATGGCAGATGCGGTTGTCTCGAATGCAGTGTCACTGTGCTGGATCCTCCAAAACTTGCTGATGTCGTACACTTTACCATGGATGCTAACGAAGTAATCATCATCCCCCTGATGGTATCCAACTTCTCTAGTATTCCATACTTTGTCCTTGTTCGGGCAAAGGAGGTCACCAAAGGCCATAATATAGAAGCAAACGACGGCATTGAAGAAGAGGATGATGAAGACGAGAACTAGCTTCTCCCTCCAGGCCATGCGCACGTCCGGTCGTTTCATGCGGCCAATGTAACGAAGGACAAAGGAGGGAATCCAGAAAGTCAAGGCCCAGACAAAGCCAGCCCAGACTCGCCGACCAAACGTGATCTCCTTTTTCTCGATGTGCTTATTTTTACCGAATTCGGGGTCGAGCTCGCCGTTGTATTGGCCGTTATCGCCATCGTAAAGCTGATTTTCCCACTTTTTTGTATCGCCCTTGGTTCCCAGGCCGTAATCGCCAGCCATGTTCACGGTATGAGGTACGCTAGGGGCGATGGACTTGGCTCCGCCCATGACGCTGGGAGCCAGCATGCTCTGCCTCTGCATGAGATTATCCCGACTACCAAGGAGACTGGTGGACTCTGCCATGGGGGTGGCCGGGTATTGTGAGAACGCATTGTCGAACATGTTATTGGCATACATGTAGGCGTTGGGAGCTTCATCTGGTTTGAGATCGAGCATGGTCTCCGCTTCCCACCAGGCATTCTCCCGCATCCAGACACGCTGGTGACCGACGAAGGCGTCACCGTTGGTCCAACCTCTTTCCATAAGCCAGCTCTCCACGCCATCTCTTCCTTCTCTGCAACCCAGCCGCGCATATCGATTCACAAACTCCTCGACGTCGAAGTCGGCCGTAAAGTCCATCTGTTTGAGACGTCGATTGGCCCATTCGGCGAGTCTCCAATCACGTAGTTGGCTGGAAACAGCACCCGCAGACCAGGCGGCTGTAGGCATCGCAGGGTTCAAGGTATTAGGGGAGTCGTCAGTTGGATGGATCGAGATGTGATGCCATACTCTACTACTTCCCAGCGTGGTCGCGAGGTCGAACCGCCCTTTCTTACCGACAGTGATTCCTTCAGACTCTGCGGGGAAAAGCAATTGCCGGAGGAATGAGTCCATGTCAACCTCTAGCCCAACCTTTTCCAGGACCTGTTGTCTCTTGTCGAGCTCATATTCTCGTTCGTGCCAGGCTGCACCGGTTGTGATTCCGAGATCGGACTCGACCTGTGCCACGGAGCTGTTCAAGTCATTGAGCACAGACTGTCCGACAAGGGGAGCCTGTACGCCATCCTCCTTCATCTCTGCATTGATGCCGAGGGTATCATCAAAAACACTCCTCATTGCCACAGCCTTGCCAAATACGGGCCTAGGGATATCGACCACGGTGATACCAACAGTGTCCTCCTCGGACCACTGACCGGCTGATCCGCTGCCCGAGTCACCCCCGTGGCTTGTTCGGAGCTCACTCGCGATAACCTCATTGGCCTTGGCCATGACCCAATCAACCAGCGCTTCATAAATGCCCGAAATCAATACCTCACGGTCGTCGGTGGAGCACTTGTGAAGAAGAATTTCTGGATCTACCCCTAAAAGTTCGCCAACTTCCTCGCATACATCTTCCAGAACTTCCTGATCGACCAGGAAGCCAGCCGCATTGCCGAGCTTCAGCAGGCCGGCGAGGACCGAGAGCAAGCCGCGATACGCAGCGCCCTTGATGCCGATGGCCTTCAAGGATGCTCGAAAATCCTCCGCAGCCGCCGCATCGTCGGCAGTGGGCAGATAAGATGGAGGCGAGTATGTCCCGGACTTGCGAAGCAAGGCATACGTGGAGGCATCCTTGAGAGCTAGAAACTCTCGCTCTGCCGGCGTCGACGCAGATGTCAGCAGGTAGTAAAATACGTCGAACGCACGGAATCCTGATTCAGAAGGGATATCCAACAGTCCTTTGCGCACATTGATGCCCGAAGTCGAGAGCGCAAAGGACAATCCGACAAGGCTCCCTTGCAGTGTAAAAGTGTAGGAAGCGGCAAGAGCAGAGTATAGGGAATACGAAGGATTGAAGGATGTGACAGCGGAAAAAAACGGCCGGAGAGCGGCGAGGGCCGTGAAAGCGATGTTGGGAGTGGGCAAAGGCACGGCGGCAAGGAAAGGTTCGAAGACGGAGGGAGTCGATTGATGAGCCGAGCTGGGTGGGTTTGTTAGCACATCGCAGATTCTCGGTACAATGAATGAACGGGGAACTCTTCGAACCTTAGAACGATACAACCGTCCTCCGCTCTTCTCCTAGCATGCTCCCACGCTCTGACGGCCAATTCCCGATCAATAATAGCAGCACTGTGGCCATCGGGCGTTTTCTGACTGGCGGTAAGCCAGGTGTTCACGACCAAACTTGTCCCTACATCCAGCTGATAAGGTTGCCCAGAGTTATAGAACGCATGTAAGGCATTCAGCAAGGTCGTCGTTGACACCGGGGACGCACCCTGGTTTCCGGGTCGGGGACCACTTGTGGAAAAGCCAGCTGAATGACTAGAATAGACGGAAAATCGGTTCGACATGACGGATATCTCGATTGTGCGACAGCACCGTGATCAGAGAGCGTGATGACAAGAAGATTTCCAGGCAAAGACCGCCCAAACGGCTGGTGGAACAATCGCGGTCCAGAATGTGTATCAGAACATGAGCATTTGGTATACCTGCACTCAACGACAGAGGTCAAAGTTGCGACAACTGAGGTGAAGAATCCTTCTCTCCTTAATCGTCAGTTCGAAGATGGGGGAATCCAACCACCTGATCGATTCAGGAACAAGACACCGTTGAGAGAGTGGATTTCGAGAGGCTGAACGGAAAGAAGGATTATTATTATGATGATCAAGACCAGCTGCAAAGCGAGGGACAACGTCCAGGGTTGGTGAGGATCGAAAGGTGAAGCGAGTGTTAGTGGGCGGGAGGAACCCCAGAGTTTATGACAATAATTATCGATTAAGGGAACGATGCAAAGCGAGGGACGGGTGAAGAGAATCCGAGGATCAAACGAGTAGAACGCAGTTCAACAGAAAGCGAAACCAGACTCGACAATGCAAAAGAAAAGTAAGAGAAAGCAGCGACAAGGCTGATGACGGTAGTTAGATTATTGAACCCGACCAGACAAGAACAGCCCAAGAGAAAGAGAGGAGAGACTGCTGCTTGTGATGTTTCTTCCTCTCTCTCTTGGTGTCTGTTGCTAGCTTACTGTACAGCAGTGGTGGTTGGCGGTAAGGTACATACATACATACAGTATTTCCGGGGTCGTTTGGGAATATTTGCAAATAATACCCTGTACCCAGCCCGGAGAGTCACAGTCCGTCAGAATGGATATGGATGTCTTTTGAGAGGTGGGTTCAAGTGTACCTACTCCATCTTGAAGATTATTACATACTTTGTTTACAGGAGGTACATATGGGTAAATAACATGGACTGATTCCATGGTTACTGTTTGTAACTGCGTACTAGTGTCCCAAAAAAAAAAAAAAAAAAAAGAGATCAACATTCAACTATCAAGATGCCAGGCGAAGCACTAATTTTGATACTAGCATACCACTAGCCAAACTCTAACTAGTCCGTTGCAGGAGACAGGTATTTTTAATCCTCCAGTCTAGACTCGACTGGGCAGTGGCTCTGATCCCTGTTCTTTCATCTTCTCCTTTTCTGTCAAGTTGTGCATTCTGCATCAATATTTATGTAAGTCCTGTGCGTGTGTTGATTAAGCAGAGAAGCTCCGCTGAGTGTGTCCTGTAGGTGTAGGTACCTAGCTCGATACCTACTAGTACGGAGTAGGTAGGAAGCGGTTACTTCATCATGATCTCAACCAAAAGAGCTCGATCCACGGATGGAATAGGAACCGTGCCAGTAGGTTGTTGGTCTGATTCAGGTTCAACCATGCCATATTCCAGGGACCACCAAGTAGATAATGATTACTCAGCGTGTCCAGGTCGCGTAACTGGAGTACTGGTAACTGGACATCCACAGGGTTGCCCAAAAAAAAGTCCCAGAGACCCCGAGCATCCTCTCTCAAGCCAATCAGAGCATCATAAACGACCAGATCCCCCGGCCTAAATTCTAAAAATGGCACCCTACGTCTCACTTCTCGTACTACGGAGTACATATTAGTAGGTACGTACAGCACCCGGTATTTCGCGAAATTTCAACTCGTGAAGATTGTTCTGTCAACAACTACCAGTAGGAGATAGATAGTAGATACGCAAAGCTGGCAAATTGCCACATTGGATGGGATTTCTGGTCTTTATCAGGTAATCATCTGTCATATGTTAGGTCTTAGAAAGAGGGTCCTGTAGTCTCCAGCCAGTACAAAGTCTGTTATTTTTATTCTTCTGTACAGCCCCTGCATGTCTGACTCTTGACTCTTGCCTTCAAGTGACAACAAGCTTGTGACCAACAGTCGACTCAGTCAGTATCGATCCAGCACTTAAGGCTACGAATGCCCCGATCACCCGGTAGATAGTTAGGAGAAGAAGGGGGTCAACAATATTTCATTGTCTTCTAGATGTATCTGTGCTTCGAAAACTATCTGCGAACCAGTCTGTAGTTTGGAATCTGGAATCTGAATTATCAGATAGACGCCGTAGGTACCTAGGTATTTCGTAACAATGAATGCAAAATGGTGCTCCATTTGTTGATTTGTTCCTTGTGAAACCCCTTGTATGGCGCCTTTCCCATTCGGGTTCGTCTGATCGGATGATCGATCCACTCCGACAAGTCAAGAAGATTTTCTTTGCGGCTTTCTTTGGTCTATCAAACTCTCAACTGTATCAAGTTTTTGACTGGACGACCATGACAATCATGACAATCATTCCAGATCATCCAGGTTTCACGTTCAACTGTACTTCATTATCTCATGTGTCTCTTTCCCATTGATTCTGAGCCACATCATGGGCTTTTATACTGTTGATGGCGATCACGGGTCAAATGTACTCGAAATAGTCCCTGAATCCCTAACGAAGAAAAACAAAAATCCCCCCCCCCCTCCTAACTATCAGGCTATCAGCAGTGGTGGCGTCGGCGATTGAGCACAACATTGATGCTATTGATTAGAGTGGATATTCTGGGTATCGTTCACAGTTTACCGGGGCTGGGTCGCGTAATTTTCAATCCCTGAGTACGCAGTACAATCCACCATCAACAGATTTGCAATATCCCTCCATCTTTGAGGACTTAGACCCTCTAATTATTCCCGATGGTCTGCTTCTTCGGTCGTGCCGAACAATCCCCACAAATCCTATTTTTTCTTATTGATTTCCTGGTGCATACCTGATGGACGGTTAGACCATGAGATGATGCGAGAACGCGAATTGTCCTCGGTTGGAGGCCTGAAATCACAAGAAATACTTCCGCGTGAAAGGCAGGATCTTTTCTTTTCTTTTTCTTTCATGTGGGAGACTGCATAAATTCCATACGTTATGCGCCTAGGTACCGACCTACCTTACATGGAGCTGTAATTTATCGCCACTTTTTGCATCATGTACTCCGTCCATGCGTATTCTTAACCCGCGAGAATAAGAATAGAAACGGACCTATCCCAAACAGGCAATACAAAAATACCGCCAGCCATACGGACCACGATTTCTTTCCCTTCTCTCTTCATCCTTCTCTATCGTTGCTAGGCGGTGACCCCAGAGAGAGAGAGAGAGAGAGAGAAAGCAGAGGAGAAAGACGGACGGCGTGGAAAGATATTCGCTGCTGCTTTTTTGTCCAAGTCCCTCTTCGCTGGTCATCTCTCTGCTGCTTTGATCTCGTCCTTTCTTCCTTCATCGTATCATAATTCATAATTACTTCTAACCCTCGTTCTCGATCTTCTTCGGCTCTTTATATACAATTCTCTTACTCGCTGAAGATTACTGTACCCATTTCGCCCGACGATCGCTCCCACCCACAGTTATTTATTCTACACTCACTTAGAAAGCAGTTGCAGTTGTGATTGACAGGTTACATTTACCACCTGCACAAAGACATGCGCCTATCGTTCCACCGTTGCTAGGAAAGCCTTCTGTTTTGAGGATTCTACCGACATTTCAACCCCCCCAGATAACTCGCCATCACCGTCCGTTCCTTTAACAGACAGAGGGTGCCAAGTGAGGATTCGGTCGGGTTCGAAGCCTATCGAGTCGCTTCCGAAGCATCTCGTCATACCTTCGTTTGGGTCTCCGGTTCTGGATATCTGATCCTTATCGACTTGTCGCTGCTTCTACGGCTCTGTTTGGGGGTTTCAGGATCGCTCCATCATCACGATGGCCGGACAGTCGCCGGCAGGAGGGGCTTCCTCCCACGCGCAGTCCTCTCTACCATCATTGCCGGCACATTTGCAATCAGATACCCATTTGACAGCTCACTTAGCCAGCCGGTATAGTTGTCCCCTGCTGTGCTACAAATTTGATGGGGGTGTTTGGTCAGCCTGCTAATCAGTATTTGACTCGAAAGGTTCCATGTCGGTCTGCCAACCGCTCGCCTTTCCTCCCAGGCTCTGATCAGTTTGAACACATTCACGTCCTCAACCAAAGGCCCCGATGGCGGTAAAGAAGGTAGCGCAATGGGGGAGGCTGAGGATCTCGCCAAACGTGCCTTTGCACGTCTCGGCGCCAGGGGGGAAAACCAAGCCGTTGTCTTTCTGTAAGTGTTGCTTCCGAGATTCTTCGTGAGTAGTGGCATCTGACTGTGTATCTACAGAGGAGAGAGTGGTTCTGGAAAAACGACAATCCGCTCCCACTTGTTGTCCTCCTTCCTCTCGTTCTCCTCGACCCCGTTGTCCTCGAAATTATCCTATGCTGCCTTCCTCTTCGACACTCTCACCACCACGAAGTCCTTGACCACACAAACGGCATCCAAAGCCGGGCTCTTCCTGGAACTGCAATATGACGGATCGTCGTCCGTGAACCCGACCTTGATTGGCGGCAAGATCATCGATCACAGACTTGAACGCAGTCGCATTACCTCCGTGCCCACTGGAGAGCGAAGCTTTCACGTGCTATACTATCTCCTGGCCGGAACCAGTGCTGCCGAGAAGGCTCATTTGGGCTTCGACAACTCCGTTCACGTCTCGACCTCTTCAGGGTCAGTTGGCCACAAGAGATGGAGGTACTTGGGTCATCCTACCCAATTGAAGGTTGGTGTGAATGACGTGGAGGGCTTTCAGCACTTCAAGACGGCTTTGAGGAAGCTGGAATTTCCCCGTAGCGAAATTGCCGAGATCTGTCAGATCCTGGCTAGTATCCTTCACCTGGGACAGTTGGAATTTGCCAGCGGGCAAGCCACCATGACCTCCGCGGAGGAAAGTGGTGGATACTCACATGAGGGTGGAGAGACGGTCACTGTTGTCAAGAATAAAGACGTGCTCTCCAATGTCGCTGCATTCCTTGGACTATCAGTCGAAGACCTGGAAAACAGCTTCGGCTACCGAACCAAGACTATCCATCGCGAGCGAGTGACGGTCATGCTGGATCCTAAGGGTGCCCGGCAGAATGCTGATGAACTTGCCCGTACTATCTACTCGCTCCTCGTGGCGTATGTGATTGAAACAGCCAATCAGAAGATTTGCGCCGCGGAGGACAGCGTTGTTAACACTATTTCCATCGTTGACTTCCCCGGTTTCGCCCAGGCTTGTGCCACTGGATCGACCCTGGATCAACTCCTCAATAATGCAGCCACTGAATCTTTGTACAACTTTTGCTTGCAATCCTTCTTCGATCGCAAGGCCGACGAATTGGAACGAGAAGAGGTGTTGGTCCCGGCGACAAGCTACTTCGACAACACTGATGCTGTTCGCGGTTTGCTGAAGCACGGTAATGGATTGCTGAGTATTCTCGATGATCAGACCAGGCGTGGAAGGACCGATACCCAGCTCTTGGAGTCTCTGGGGAAGCGCTTCGAAAACAAGAATCCTGCTATTGTTGTGGAGAACTCCAAGAGAACGAGTTTGATTTCGCAGAATGCTCGGGCTGCATTCACCGTGAAACACTTTGCTGGCGAGATCGATTATTCTGTCACGGGCCTAATTGAGGAAAACGGAGAGTTCATCTCTGGCGATTTGATGAAATTGATGAAATCTACCAGAAGCGAGTTCGTGCGGGAACTCTTCGGACAAGAGGCTCTGCAGACAGTTACCCATCCCAAAGAGAAGACGGCCATTATGCAAGCCCAAGTCAGTTCAAAGCCCTTGAGAATGCCCAGCATGGCCAGGCGCAAGACTAGCCCATCTGCACGACTAGCTTTTGATGCGCCTGCGATGGGAGATGCGGATGAGCTTGAAAGTCAAGCGGACAGCATAGCCAAGGATTCATCGTCGGGCCGACGGAAAAGCGCGATGCTTACGAGCGGCATACAAGGGGCAGCCGGCCAGTTTCTGTCCTCCCTCGAGATCGTCAATAAGTGCTTGAGCTCGACGAACTTGAATCCTTACTTTATCTTCTGCTTGAAGCCTAACGATCGACGTATCGCAAATCAGTTCGACAGCAAATGTGTACGGGCACAAGTCCAGACATTTGGTATTGCTGAGATCAGCCAAAGGCTACGCAATGCAGATTTCAGTGTCTTCCTCCCATTTGCCGAGTTTCTTGGTCTTGCTGAAATCGGCAACGTTGTGGTTGGCAGCGACAAAGAAAAGGCTGAGGTTGTTCTCGATGAGAAGCGGTGGCCAGGAAATGAAGCGAGGGTGGGAAGTACCGGTGTCTTCCTCAGCGAGCGCTGCTGGGCTGATCTTGCGAAAGTCGGCGAGCGTGTCGTCCCCGTCTACAATTCGGAAATGTCCGATGAAGGAGGCGACGGCCTGCTTCATCCTCGGACCGCAGCGTACACCGACTCTAAAGTACGACTTCTCAACCCCGCTGACCAGTCTCCTGGCGCGTTCATCTATGGCGACGAGGCTAAACAAGGTTATTTTGGAAGCCGTGATCTCGATGGACGCTCTGAGGCAGGGAACTCTGCATTCAACTCGGGAGACATGTTCCGGAATTTGGAAACAAAGGAACAGATGCTTGAGAAGGGCAATGAGAAGAAGATGGAAGAAGTGGATGATGCTCCGGTCTCCGGAAGTCGTAAGCGTTGGGTAGCGCTTGTCTACTTGCTGACATTCTACATCCCTGATTTTGCGATCAAGTTCATTGGCCGCATGAAGCGCAAAGATGTGCGCATGGCCTGGCGTGAGAAACTCGCGATCAATATGATCATTTGGTTCAGTTGCGGTGTCGCCATCTTCTTTATCGTCGCTTTCCCCGGTTTGGTTTGTCCCACGCAACACGTCTACTCAGCATCTGAATTGTCTTCACATGATGGCAAGGACGGACACACATCTTTCGTTGCTATTCGTGGTGTGGTCTTTGACTTGGGTAAATTTATGCCGTCCCACTTTCCAGATATCGTGCCGCAGTCTGCGTTGAAAAAGTATGCCGGCCTTGATGCTACTGGTCTTTTCCCTGTGCAAGTCTCGGCATTGTGCCAGGGCAAATCAGGGGCGGTTGATCCTACGGTACTTCTGGATTACAGGCCGACGAATATCTCGGGATCAGTAAATACCATCAGCGGTACAGATACCAATTCTGTCTATCACGACTTCCGTTACTTTACCAATGACTCCCGCCCAGACTGGTTCTATGAACAGATGGTGATGCTCAAATCAAGTTACTTGAAGGGCTACGTCGGCTACAGCCCACAATATCTGACAACCCTCGGCAAGAAGTCACAGTCGATCGGCAGCATCAACGGCAAAGTCTACGATTTGAGCAGTTACATTGCCGGAGGGCGGCTGACAAGAGCGCCTCCTGGAAAGTCGGTTCCTACTGATGTCGACACGGACTTCATGGATTCTAATGTTGTACAACTCTTCCAGGGCCTCCCTGGTCAGGATTTGTCAAAACACTGGGAGAATCTGAAAATCGATGCGGGCATGCGTCACCGTATGCAGCTTTGCCTGGACAATCTCTTCTTTGTGGGCCATGTGGACACACGTAACTCGGCACAGTGCCAGTTCGCCCAGTATTTCATCCTTGCGATTTCGATTCTCATCTGCTCCATCGTCGTCTTCAAATTCCTTGCGGCTCTACAATTCGGTAGAAAGAATGTCCCTGAGCATCTGGACAAATTCATCATCTGTCAAGTGCCCGCCTATACGGAAGATGAGGAGTCCCTCCGTCGTGCTATGGATTCTATGGCACGCATGCGATACGATGACAAACGCAAGCTTCTGGTGGTCATTTGTGACGGTATGATTATTGGGCAAGGAAACGATCGTCCGACCCCTAGGATTGTACTTGATATTCTAGGAGTGCCGGAGTCGGTCGACCCTGAACCTCTGAGCTTTGAGAGTCTGGGAGAAGGCCAGAAACAACACAACATGGGCAAAGTCTATTCGGGTCTGTACGAAGTTCAAGGTCACATCGTTCCTTTCCTCGTCATTGTCAAGGTTGGAAAGCCCTCTGAGGTGTCTCGTCCTGGTAACCGTGGCAAACGTGATTCCCAGATGGTCCTCATGCGCTTCTTGAACCGTGTTCACTACAATCTTCCCATGAGCCCCATGGAACTGGAAATCCATCATCAAATTCGCAACGTTATCGGTGTCAATCCCACGTTCTACGAATTCATCCTGCAGGTCGATGCCGATACAGTCGTCGCTCAAGATTCCGCAACGCGGATGGTGGCCTCATTCTTGTCGGATACACGTCTCATCGGCGTTTGCGGAGAAACAGCATTGACCAACGCTAAGACTTCGGCGGTGACCATGATTCAGGTTTACGAGTACTACATCTCTCACAATCTCACGAAAGCGTTCGAATCCCTCTTCGGGTCGGTCACATGTTTGCCTGGTTGTTTCACCATGTATCGGATTCGCTCTGCCGAGACAGCCAAACCGTTGTTCATTAGCAAGGAAGTCGTTGAGGCATACGCTGAAATCCGAGTCGATACACTTCACATGAAGAACCTGCTTCATCTCGGTGAGGATCGATATCTGACCACGCTTCTTCTCAAGCATCATGCCAAGTACAAGACCAAGTACATCCATACTGCCAAAGCTTGGACTATTGCTCCTGAGAGCTGGGCGGTCTTCCTTTCCCAGCGTCGTCGGTGGATTAACTCCACTGTCCATAATTTGATTGAGCTGATTCCGATGCAACAACTTTGTGGATTCTGCTGTTTCAGTATGAGATTCGTTGTGTTTGTCGATTTGCTCAGTACTGTGATCCAGCCTGTCACTATCGCCTACATCATCTACCTGATCTATTGGCTTGTCAATGATACGTCTACGATTCCCTACACTGCAATCATTCTGCTCGCAGCCATTTACGGTCTACAGGCTTTCATCTTCATCTTCCGTCGAAAGTGGGAAATGGTTGGATGGATGATCATATACATCCTTGCTATTCCTGTTTTCTCTCTTGCCCTCCCTCTTTACTCTTTCTGGCACATGGATGACTTCAGTTGGGGTAACACTCGTGTCATCACCGGAGAACAGGGCCGCAAGGTCGTCATTTCCGATGAAGGCAAGTTTGACCCCGCATCCATCCCAAAGAAAAAGTGGGAAGAGTATCAGACAGAGCTCTGGGAGGCTCAGACTTCGCGGGACGACCGCTCCGAAGTTTCTGGTATCTCTTACGGTACCAAGTCCTACCATCCTACTCAGTCAGAGTATGGATTCCCTGGTTCTCGGCCGATGTCTCAGCTTGAACTTCCCCGCTATGGATCTCGGATGTCCTTGGCGCCATCAGAGATGATGAGCCGGAATATGGACATGGAGATGGAGGACCTCTCGCACCTCCCGAGCGACGACGCCATTCTTGCCGAAATTCGCGACATCTTGCGCACAGCCGACCTGATGTCCGTCACAAAGAAGAGTGTCAAACAAGAATTGGAGAGACGATTCGGCGTGAACCTAGACCTTAAGCGCCCCTATATCAATTCTGGTAAGCTTTGGATCATCCTTGTGTGTTCCTGCAAATTGCCTCGTACTGACTTTTTGCGGTTCTATAGCCACCGAAGCAGTTCTTTCTGGCGCCCTCTGATCCTTGAATTCAATACGCCGAGTGGACACGAGAGAAAGAAAGAAAGAAAGAAAGAAAGAAAAAAGCAACCTTACAAAAATGCCCCTCTTCAGATATTGTAAATTTTCTTTTCATCATCATTCTAATCAACGTTTCTTCTTGAGCGATACTATGGGAAAGAAAGATCCGCTCCTCTATCGGTTACATAAGTTGGACAGCGGACTGTCCAGGCTATATCCATGATGACTTTGAGTACTCTGTTCATGACGTACCATACTGAGCTCCTATCTTTTTTTTTTCCCTTTTCGGTTTGCATTCGGCTCTTTAGCCTGAGTATGGAGTTGTACATTATCTTGCTTTCACATCATGTCTTATCTCGCGATCATTGGCACATATTCGTTCAGCGTGAGCTTTCTTAGTTGCATTATTTGATCTCTTTTCAATTTTTCTTCAAATAATAGAGTGTTTATTGTGATGGCTGGAAGTATGTGTACATGTGCGAGTGCCTCTAGACATATACAAATAATAACGTAAGGAACACTCGTACTCGATAAAGTGAAATGGATTGGGGGTATTGCAATGATACGTAAATGCTTGAATATAATAGACAAGAAAGCGAGGCTCAGAAAGAGGGCGCCACGGAAGGTTCAACTGGATGCTCGACGGGTTTGCGACTGTGCTGGTCCATTCCCAGCATCTGCCAAGCAGTACCCATCACTGCATGTCCTGGACCTTTGAGAAACTCGCCGTGCATCAAGGTACGCGGAACATGCCGTTGAGACCGCTCGCGGGAAACTCGCTCCTTCTTCGTCGCGACCAGCCTATCCTGCTCTCTCTCGTGTCGAACAATGTCGTCCTTCCATTCGGCCCAGCGCTCGTAGTGTTCGCGCTGCTGGAGCACTTGGTAGCGGAGCTTGGCTTTGGACGGGCGCCAGCCGACGCGGTTCCCGCTGTCCTGGGACATGGTGGATTTGAGGTCGCAGATGCTCGTGTCTTTGGTTAGTTTGAGGAGATGCGCGAAGACGTCCTTGCTTTCCGACGCGGTCTGCTGGGCCTTGTCCTGTTGAGGCGTCGGGAACGACTTCGTGAGAGGTACGTCCAGCCAGGAGTGCATTTCCGCCGCGCGTCGGACGGAGTACGGGTCGAGCATGTTGGCGCGCCGGTTCTCTTCGCGGAGGAAACGGACGGCCGCTTGGAGGCTTTCGACTTCTGCGCGAAGAGCCTCGTTCTCGCGCATGGCGGCCAGCGAGATGCTGTTGTCGATGACGACCCCGTCTGTCGTCGTCGAGACTCCGGTTGTGCCGGAAAGCCGTTTGACCCGCTCGAGTCGAGTCTTGAGGTCTTCTCGCTCTGCCTCCAGCGCTTGCATGTCCTTGCGCTGTTGTCCGAGGAGCCCCTCGAGTTCTGCCCCCTTGGCTTGCAGTTGCTCAATCTTGCTCTCGAGGTCTTTGACCATGGATGCTTTCTTGTTCGCCTCGCGCATTCTGGATTCAACCAGCTCCACTCGAAGGGCTTGCTCCTCAATCGTTTTGTCCTTGACACCGAGAGATGTCGATGCTTCATGGATCTCGTTCTTGAGTCGACGTATCTCCTCATCCACATCTGGAGAGATTGTCTTATTCGACTTGAGCTCCGCAGCTCTTGCAATCCACGGCGAGGGACGCCTTTCGAATTCGGTCGTGATTGACAGATCCGACGAGACTGCATCTAGTTCTTCGAGGGAGCCAGTGAGGCTGCGCAATCTGCTGTAGAGGAGTGACATGGTATCCTTGCTCTCACTTCCAGTCTCAGAGGGTAATGCATAGCTTGCAGAGGTCTCGGACATTGTTGTCAATGCCTCTGCGACAGTCAGAGCTTCAGTCCGGGCCTCCTCGCCAATAAGCTGCGCAATGTTCTCCCCCAGCTGGCGTGCCAACGCGGAAAGGTCTCTGGCAGCCTCTTCGGTGCTCTTGAAGGGTCCAGCAACATCTTGGGATAGGGATAGTGACCGTAATCGCAAGTCTTCAAGCGCCCTATGAACCTTGCCCAACGCAACCTTCAGACCGCGAGCTTGGGACACGAACCCATCCATCTTATTGAGAAGAAAAGTGCACTCCTCGTCACCACCCTCTTCGGGAATCTTAATCTCCGATTGCAGCAGTGACTTCAGCCGTGCCATGCAAGATGCAGCATGGTCCATATATGATTGTGTCAACGATGAACGCATACAAAGCTCGTCAGCAAAAGCCTCCAGCGAATCAGGTAGAAGGGTCTCTGCAAGATGGGAGACAAGAGCGATAGATCTTTGCAGCTCGATAGCGCACTTGCGCAAGTTAACCTCGTTCTTCTTCAAGCCCTCTATCCAGAAATTCAAGGTCCGTTCCACCGGCTCCATCTCGAACAATGCCCCCCTGATACTGTCAAAGCTCTCTGTTGGGCAGCTCGTGATATATGTGACGAAGCGATCGCAAAGACCTGAAATGTAGAGTAACTTCTCAAACACATCGTATGCCACGAAGACATCATCAGGTGATGTCGCGATGGAGGCTTGCTCGGAGATATTCTCACGGATCGTGTTCATAATCAAAGAAGCTTTGAAGGTCACCCGCTTGAAGCGCAGAAGGGCAAGAATCGAGTCTCGCTCCCCCTCGTAGTATTCCGGGAGATATAACTTTACGATGGACAGATGCTGTATGTCTTCCTCTGCACTCATACGGGCGAGTTCAATGTCGATTGTCTTTGTCTGCGTTTTGGAGATCGACGCTTGGAGCTTCATGTTCAAGTCTATCATGGCTCGGGACCGCGTCGTCAGATCGTTCGCCTCGGCTTCTGAGATTTGTTGAGAAGCTCGCATATCCTCCAAGTCTCCTTGTAAGGTCGAAACCAGCTCCCGGAAGCGGACCAAAGTGTATTCCAGATCTTCAATGACCTCATCCTGCTGGGAGATCTTTCGACACTGGTCATTGAACAGACCCTCACGATAGTCGATCTCTTCCTGAAGCTGCTTTTCTGTCTCGATGTGGTTGTACTCAAGTTCGTCGTTGACCTCTTTCAAAGCCTCCAGATCATCGATGGCAGCCTTGAGTTCGTTGATCTCTTCCTGATATCGCATGTTCTTGTCAGCAAGTTCTTCAATCATTTCTTCGGCACCAAGCGCTGTCTCGAGCTGCTGCTTGAGATCTTCGACATTGTCCTCGGATACAAGCAGCTTTTCTTTCGTCGACTCGTATTGGGACTTGATGGTGGCATAGTCTTCCAGGTCCTGCTCGAGCTCCTTGATCTGATCCTTTAAATCCGATTCCTGTTGCTGGGTCATATCACGGAGGCGGATCAAAGCTTCGCGCAGACGCTCATTTGTCTTCTCCATTTGAAGCCACCCATGACTGGATCTTTCCTCAGGGCTCATTGTCTGACCAAGCTCTTCATTTTCTTCCTTAAGGATATCAAGCTCCAGTTGCAGTTCCTCCACCCGGGCTCGTAGCAGCTCACATTCATGCCTGAACGCGTCAGCTGTCTCTTCGGCCATCTCACGGTCTAGCGCTGCCATCTCCAGGATGGAATCATTCTCCGCCTGGAGGCGTTCTACTTCCTCCAGCTTTGCCTCTGTCTCTTTCAATTTCTTGCGCAAATCACCGATCTCGAGCTGTTGCGGCTGGTATTTGGCTTGCAGCTTCTGGATGATGGCCTCGAATTTATCCCTTTCCGATTGCAGTCTCTCGAGGGTCTTCATTTTCTCGCGATCTTCTGCCCGCTTCTTTTCCATAACCTTGAGCTTCATCTTTATCTCGTCAAGGTCTCTACCAGCTGGGGCAGAATTGTTCTGCGCTGGTCGCTGTGAGGAAGAAGTTAAGCTAGGACGACCGGCCGCTGGTCTTGCCGAGCCTGGGGTCTTCTCGGGCAACCTTCGCGACGACCCTTCATTCTCATCCACTTCCGCATCGTCGACATCAAGGTCAATTTCTGGATCCTCCGTTTCCCCGCTTGTGCCGACCTCTGTTTCATTGGATGATTTATTGGAAGCGGTTGGCCGCAATGCCGGTCGTTTGAAATGTCCAGGAGCCGTGGCTGTTCCGGATTGAAGGCTTGGTCTAGTTGCCTTGCTTGAGGGTCCTGATATGGAAGGTCGAGACTGACGGGGCGCGGAGGAGGGCGCGGAAGGAGGAGGCATGGACGTCCTCGCTCCAGATGGAGGGCGGCTTCGAGATGCCACTGTCGACGGCCGCGACGAGGGGCCACTAATCGACCCACGAGTGGAGGAGAGAGGTACGGCAGGGGTTGGTGTGGATTTATTCGGCGACTTTATGGGAGACTGAACCTGTCCTATGTCAGCGATGAACATTGTCAATGGCGCGCCTGGCCCAGTCCGTACTCTCGTGGATGTCCGCTGGGATGCGGACTTCGAGGTCGGCGAGGTGCTCGCAGCGCTGGCGCTGTGTCTCTTGACATTGGTTGTCGGTAAAGCGCCAGGACGTTTCATCGTGATACTGTTTGCTGTTGAACCCGTCTGAGCTCGGGCTCTGCTTGCTTGGGCGGCATTGGTGTTTCCTTTGGAGGGTGGTTTCGTCTCTCGCACGGGCTGTTCGATAATGGCGGCGACAGCAGAAGGTCGAATAAACATGCCAAACCCCGGTTCGCATTCGAAATATCGCTCTCCTTGAACCGCGCCATCGTTCTTCCCCGTGCAATCGTCCAGCTCAACGCCGATCCAGTCGCCAGCTGCGAAATGGGTAGTCCCGACGAACCGCACGGTGGCCGGCCGACCGTCGGTCAGAGTGACTACATGGCCAACAGATAACTCAGCCATGGCAAAACATTCAGATTAAGAGCTCCTGCTCGGGTCAATGGCCAGACTGGGGGCAGGAAGGGGAGTTTGTTGATGTTGTTTGTTGCTTCGGAGCCTCAGGACGCGATCCCGGATTGACGGCCTGATCTGCGGCCTGAGGCATCAACTCCTGAAAATCTCCGAAAAACTTCAGCTTCTTTTTTATTCTGCCTTACGGAGTACATCCTTACAAGAATAATATCAAGATGTTAATACTATTGAACTGTATTCATACTAGTTTAAAGCTAGATTATGCGAGATACTACGTAGTCTGTTACCAAGGGTTCCTTTTTTACGTGTGTGCGCTCTCTGCCCTACGCCTTGTAGATAGATCAGTCAGTCAGAGCTGAAAGAGCTGAAAGAGACATATGTTCCTGACTCCCTTGCACGCCACTTCAAGCCCTCCGAGACACATCAAAACTCCTTCGCAGCAACGAAGCGCCAGTGGACTGAGGACAGCCACCATTATTGAGACATCTTCACAGCCTCCTCCTGCACCCCTGGAGAACCTACGGAGTAAAGGATGGTGTAAACTTGACAAAGCGCATTACTCCGTAGTATGTTTCAATGGCCATTCGCCTATCGAGTACCCTATTGGTCCATTGGCCCATGTTTCAGTTGACCCTGAATCCTGGATGGAGTCACGACTGGCCGAGTGAAGACTCAGTCCTGGACTAACTGGTTATCGGGGCCACGGTAGTGGCTGGGACGCCCTCATGGCGAGAGACTAGTCGTATGACAGGGATATATTTATCCATCGCTTGAATCTCGATGCAAATGTCTGTCCGTTCCTCGCGAGCGCCATGGTTCATCCTTTTTCCTTTTGCGCCCCCCCCACTTTGAGACACAAATTTATAGACTACCGAGGATATTGAGGCCAGGGCGATAAATAATCTATATCCCTGCTCGGTTACACGGATTGCCAGTTTTATCAGTGTCCGACCTTGCTCTGAAAGTGGCATCTCTTGTTTGTGTCATAGAGCTTTTATTGAAGAGACCACTTCACCTTCCGGCCACAGTTGGTCGGCGATCACGAACATCAAAATGCGCGAGTCATTGTACTATGGCGCAGTTTGGACTGCTCTTGCCAGCATTGCGGCTGCCGATGCTCCATCGGCTGAGCAATGGGCCGAAAGATCGATTTATGTTCGTGCGCTCCTTGCTCGTCATGTTGTCCTCAAGAGCCAGACGGTTCGGGAATTACTGACAAAAGTTCCGGCCAGTAGCAAATCATGACGGATCGCTTTGCGCGCCCAAAGGGGTCCTCTGATGCCGCTTGTGACCCTTTCAAGTACTGTGGAGGGTCGTGGGCTGGCATCATTGAAAAGCTGGATTACATCCAAGACCTGGGTTTTACGGCGATCCAGATCTCGCCGGTGGTCGAGAATATCCCGGACGACACCAAATACGGCGAAGCGTATCACGGGTACTGGCCAAGGAACCTCTATGCGCTCAATGACCACTTTGGCACAGATGGAGACCTTCGCAGCTTGGCGAGCGAGCTTCACAAACGAGACATGTACCTGATGGTCGATGTTGTGATCAACGACATGGCTCAGGCCATCAACGGCTCGATGGATGACCATCCGCAGCCCAAGATTGACTATTCTCAGCTCATCCCTTTCAACGATGAAAAATACTACCACCCCTACTGTAGCATCACTGACTGGAATAACCCTGCGATCTATCAGGGTTGCTGGTTTGGATCGGACGTGGTCGCTCTGCCAGACCTGAAGACGGAGGACAAGGAGGTCGAGACGATGATCCAGACATGGGTCAAGGAGCTCGTCAGTAATTATTCGATAGACGGTCTGCGCATCGATGCTACCAAGCACATGAACGACGAATATGTCATCGGCTTCTCCAAAGCGGCAGGAGTCTTCACAATGGGTGAGGTGTATACCGAGGACACGGATCTCGTTTGCAAATACGAAGACATGGTCACTGGTCTTTTGAACTATCCCGTCTACCAACCTGTTGTTCAAGCCTTTACAGCAGGCGACATGCTCCGACTTGCTGAGAGTGTCCGGACGGTCGAGAAGAAATGCAAGGATTTCACGCGGTTGGCGACTTTCGTGGAGAACCATGATATCACTCGCTTTGCGTCTCTGGTCAATGACACGACAGTAAGTATAATCGATGGTAGCGGGTTTGAAATCATAACTAACAGCCTTGAAGCTGGCAAAGAACGCGATGGCTTTCAATATTCTCGCGGATGGCATTCCAATCAGTACGTTTCCTTGCTGAACCGTATCCAGAACAAACGGCTAATGTCCTGCTTCTAGTTTACCAAGGTCAAGAGCAGCATATGGCCGGTAACTTCTCGCCATACAACCGGGAAGCCCTCTGGACGACAGAATACGACACCAAGGGGCCCCTGTACGGCCTGACCGCAACGCTCAACAAGCTCCGGAACCATGCCATCAGCATCGACAACCATTACGTGACCAACCACAGCATTGAGCTGTACCTCGACAACTCGACCTATGCCACCAGAAAGGGACCGGAAGGGGTTCAAGTCGTCTCCGTTTTCTCAAACCAAGGCTCGAAAGGCGGCAAGTACGACCTTACGCTGAAAGACGCTTTTGCTCCCAACACGGAAGTCATGGAGGTCCTGGGCTGCTCCAAGCTCACGGCCAACGATGCCGGCAATCTCACTGTCAAGATGGACGCCGGAGAGCCCAAGGTCTTCTTCCCTACGTCACATCTGGATGGCTCCGGGCTGTGCGGCTATAAAGCGCGGGAGACCCAGTCGAATTCGACGAGTGACAACTCGACTAACTCTGACAAGGACAAAGACGATAAGAATCTGGGCAGCGTTGCTGCCATCCCATACCCTATGCTGCTTTCAGGGGCTGTGCTAGCCGCTATTATTAGCTGGGTGTTCTAGTTTCTTTCTTTCTTTCTTTCTTTTTTTCTCCCTTTTTTGAAACCTGACCTGACCTTTCTATTCTTCATCTCACCTTTTTCTGATCTTCTTTCCCTTCCCCAAAGCTGCATGCTGCTAGGGGATTTTGTTCCTTTTTCTTCTTTTCATGATGGATTGAATTTCATCTCTAGATATGATGTATATATCATTATGTCTATAATCATTGACCTAATAGAACCCCATAGACAGACCAAAATCATATGCTTCGTGACATCTAAGCGCATACCCAGTATGCGCATAAGCCCATTGCTACACACCAAAATAGCGGGACGTCTATTTAGCAGCAGTACTCTTGAACAGCTGGGGAAACAATTTCCGCAATTCTTCAAGACTCCGAATCATGTATTGTGAGGCCGGAACGGGAGGAACAGGAAGCATGGGCTCCACGAGGTGGACAGTGGTCCAGCCACGTTCCGCGGCATGCTTGCAATTCAAATACGAGTCATCTATAGCCCCAGTCATAATAATCAGCACAGACGCTACAGAGTCAGATTGTAAACCCCAAGATGACATACCAACAAAATAGCACTCCTCTGTACTCAGCGCTTGCGCCTCAATCTCTGCCTTCTCGTACATATCCTGGGATGGTTTGCAGACGAGCGGGGGGTGCGCATAGTCGCAGTACGTGATACCCTCGAACAAATCATCCACCCCCAAGAGCTTCACCACGCGCCTGGCGTGGGTGATGTAAGCGTTCGTGAGCAGCCAGGGCTTCACCTTGGAGGTGTCGATGTCCTCGAGGAACTTGCGCAACTCAGGAGCGGGCTTCAGGATCTTGTCTAGGGGAAGGGCATCGTCGACTTCGCAGTTGAATCGCAGAGGATTGATTGTGTGATGGCGGGTGAGACCCTCGAGAGCGAGACCGTATTCTTTGTAGTATTTCTGGTGCAGCATGTGGGCGTTTTCGGAGCTGAGGGAGAGGTGCTTGACGAAGAACTGGTCTGGTGATGATCACAAACGTTAGAGATTACAATAAATCGCAGATCATAGTCATAAAAGTTGAAAGGAACTTACTGATCAATTTCTGCATCTCATCGTGAATGTTGCAATCTGCGCAGGTCTTGTCAGTCGTCGTTGAGTCGCTCGAGTCGGCGGGAGTTCTGACCTCGAGAATAGAGCTGCGTACACCGAAGATTAGCAAATCTGTCTTGCTACTGATAAAACCCCAATCTAGTAAATCAACTATTGAATCATAGTCGGATATACATACACAGTTGTCTATATCGAAGAAGAAGACTGGCCTGCGATCAGGCACTGCATTGGCGGGACACACTGTGGTGGCCATTGTCCTCCGAGGTGAGAAGAAGCTTGTGCGGAAAACGAAGGGTGGATGATATTGCAAAGAGAAACGGGTAACTGGAGTTGAGAATCTCTGGTATATATAAGAAGCCCGAGAGATGAAAGAAGTCATGGATAAGTGAGGCTAATCCATCCATGCAATGATTCACATCTCTGGTTCATTAGAGTCATCATAGTACATAATACTGCCCGCAGTATTATTCCGCGGACGAGCTTAGCGTCTGACCGCCAAAACATCTTGCTGGACTCGAGGGAGCTTGAATTTTCTCCTTCTCCCTCGACGAAATAAAATCAATATCACACACAACTCTTCATCTCAACATCCATGTAACCTGTTGATCAAGTCTACTACTTATCATAGGTGAAGTGGCTACTCTGCAGATACTGCTATTAGTATCGATACGATCTGTTCATCTAGTCACATCAACGCCTACAGAAGCCATTTTTCCCCGTCCCGTGGAGCCCCTGCGTCATGGCAACTCCTGGGACAGCTCAACTGCCAGCTGGAGAAATTTCCCCTGGCTTGTCAGAAAACGAGCAAGTGAGGGAATACGAGAAGATCTTGAGAATTAGCGACGATATCTTCTCTGGTGCTCACCCTAGGTTGAAAGTTCCTCAGCAATTTGTGCGCAAGACCATGTCTCGCAATGCTCCCAATCCCCCAACCCCGACAAGACAAGCTCAGGTAAAGACTGCTGGAGGTCAGGTATATTCTCAGGGTAAACCATTCCAGCCCAAGCCGGCGACAATAGGTGTCGCAAATGCGCAGACCGCAAAACCCAATGGTCCGTCTGCTGCGACCGCTTCTCCTGCGTCTTCGCGTATTGTTCCCAAGCCTACGTCGGAGATTGATCCCATCTTCTTGACCAAATCCGATGATTTAGTTAGAGCGGAGCTGCAGTTGCAGCGACAAAGGGTGGAGAGAGCGTTGCGTGAGCAGTTGGAGCACAAAAAGCAGGAGTCCAGGCAGCGAGTCGCCATGCAGGACGCGAAACCTGACTTTGACGTCTCAGACGTTCTGAACAGGGCCTTTGAGCTCGTCCCTCCATCACCATCCATTGAGGCCCCTGGGCCCAATGTCATGGAAGCTCCTAGTGACTCGTATGATGAGTCCTTCGACTCCAGTAGAGCCGCTGACTCTCCGGTCCAGCAGAAGCCGGCTTCGGCGCCTCCGTCTAGCTCAGAGGATTCTGCTGCTGAAGCTCCAGTAGAGACTTATTCAGATGAGTTGCAACGGCTTGAAGCCCTGAACAAATCTGGATCGGATCAAGAAATGCGAGATACTTACCCGGTTGCAGACGCTCGCATGCCCGATCGTCAGAGACAGACACAACGTGGCCCGGTAGATTTGGCGAACGAAGATATCCAGGTGACCCAGGCGCAAGCAGATGCTTTTGAAGAGCCTGAGTATTCGCCGCCGGCTCCAGGTGTCCCCCCAATGGCGAGGAGTGAGAATCGCGAGATTGCACCTGAACATCGGAATGGAGATAAACGAAGGGGTCAGGAAGGTCAGCCCGCTTACCGGCCACCTCCTCAGCATCATCGTCGCAGATCCATATCACCAGGAGACGATGTGAGAGTTGTGCGCAACCATATCACGTCACCCGCCGCTCCGCAGCCCTCTCGAGTCTCTCCACTAGCTATAGCCAAGGTTTCCTCCGTCCATCAACCCAAACATTCACGAATAGTCTACAGCTCTGACCGATTGCAGCCCGCGAGACAGGATATTCGGGGCAGCAGTCCCGATGTTCCAGCCCAGCAGTTGATGCCTAGGAAGCGCAGGAGGCTTCACGATGACCGCAGTCGGCCACGCCAGGTATCGTACAGAACACAAGCAGGTGGCAGTTCGGAAACTTTTATTAAGGAAGAGCCTGTTTCACCGCCACCTTTTGCGGACACGCCGCCCAAAGTGCCGCCTCAAGAGAGGCCTATCTACATCGATATCTCCTCACCGCGTTATACACCAATGTATGAGAGGGTCGAGCCAATGGCGGCGCCTGTATATGAGGTTGATCCTTACCACGAACCTCATCTGGAGGCCGGCCTTCAGAGGACCACATCGCGGCTCAGTGTCCGCCGGCCGATCCGTGACGATCAGGATCTACGGAGGGTCGCCAGCTTACATCAGGTTCGACAACCGGAATATACACGCGAATACATCGAACGACCTGGTTCTCGTTCGTTTCGTGCTGCATCGTACGCCGTCCTTGAGCGACCGCCACCGGAAAGAATTCGATATTACGACGAAGCGTCTCCCTCTTACGCCAGACATTACGTCTCAGCCGGCGAATCGCCGACGTCGCCACGTTACCAAGAGACTTATATTGACGCCGGTGCGATGGCTCCTCCACCCCGCCGAATTTTGATCGATGAGCATGGCAATCACTACCGCGAGAAGACTCCACCCAGGATGCAGGCCATGCCCCCGCCGAGTCGCATTCCGCGGGGAGATGTCTATGATGACGGTACACAGGTACGCCCCGCTGCTAGTGTCCGCGCAATCTCCGTTGTCGATGATCCCTATGGTGGTCGGAGATATGTTCAGGAAATGCCGCCTCCTCCCACTGGTTATCGACGGGTCACCGACTATCCTCATCCTGCTGCCAGCGAACGGCGCACCTTTGCGACCCCGCTCATTGAGGATCGCGAGCCCTACCCCCGCAGCAGTAGCGTGCAGGTTGCCGGCTATCCCGCCCCACGTGCGACGTATATGGAGGAGGCGGACATCCCGCGCGAGAGAATCATCAGGATGCCAAGCGTACGACCTACTGCTGCTCGCTATGAGGAGCCTCGCGAGATGATTCCTCGGATTGGCAGCGTGCGCCCGGTTGAACGAGACGTAAGTGTTTATGTAGATGATGATGCTCGGCGGCCCAGGGAGTACATTGAACGGCCCGTCTATGTGGCACCCCGGCCGCTGACGAGGGAAGAACGATACTATGACGGAGAACCCGAGCGGGTTGTGCTTGATGGGCGAGAGGCGGTTCACCGAGTTCCCCAGCGTTATTGAACAGTCTTAGGTTCGTGAGTCACCGTGAGATTTCGGACCCTGCTTGGTTTGATCGCATTTGCATGCATACTGGCGACCGGTTTCGATTTGTCTTTCTAGCGAGCTGTTGTACATTATTGCGCTTTTTTTAGTCAGGGACATCGGCAAACAATCGTTCACTCCCTGTGAGTCGAAGCTAAATTGGAGAATAATTATCATGCCCAGATACCCTGACCGACCCCAGCTGTAATTGAAAGGGTTGGTTAGGTACCTCTAGATGTAGAAAGCTCCATAAAGGACTGGGGTGGTTTTCCTCCCGGCCAAGTTCGAACTCAGCATTTGTGGCAATTGCATATCTGTTATATGTCGATCCCTTTAAGAAACAGAAGGGTATCTATACTGGCAAATGAAAGACATTCCGCACCCTGTCTGTCTTGGATCCAATTTTTGATATCGATGTCAATCAACCAGAACATCAGCCCTGTACCGGGGTATACCGAAGAAGAATGGTCCTACCATCCGATACCCCTAGTACTACACTGCAGGGGGGCCACAATGATAGCCTAAGAAGAATAATTGGCAAATAAGAAGGAGAAGAACACGCATGCATAGTGATTTGATCTCTGGTAGATCAACTGTTGTGATGCTTTTCGACAATCCAAAATACTGCCTGGGGCGATGACGTCGGACCCCCAACCACCAGCATCAGGAAAAGGAAAAGGTCCCACGCTTTCGTCATGCAGGAAGAATCCCTGAGAGACTAGTCGACCATCCTCTGGACATCTTATCTATGTTGAAAGACATCTAAAAGACTGCGAGAGAACGATGCTGCCTGCTTCCCATTAGGAGTCTCTACTGGAGAATGACTGGCTGAGTTTCTACGTCATTGCCTTACTAGCAGAACAGAGTTGAAATGCACCCTTTATTTAACCCGTCGGACGAAACCACTCTGGTAACAGCCCTGAAGCTTTCTGGCGCATTGTTCTCGATCCTCCTCAGTTCTATGGTGATTTGGATTGCGCGACAACCCACCAGCGACAATCAGACTTGCTGCGACATGGTCCCGGATCAGGTATACCGGCTCTGCCATCGCGACGAGACCGTGAGCTCGGAGCTGGCGAAAGATCCCAGTCAATCACCGGCAAAGGTCTTCCACAAGCTGTACCATGGGCACAGATTGAAGGATAAGGTGGCTGCTGCAAAGACCAGGCAGGCAACTGGAGACCGTCATGATGGTCTGCAGAAGGCATATGAGTGTGGGAAATGGGGGACCACCAGACCGAGTCAGCTATTTCTCAAGGTTAGATAGATACCCCTCGAATTGAAAGCCGTAGTCCCCGCAATAATTCGAAATGAATGTCTAACTCGCCCTTTACGTTGAAAGATATATCATGACGCCCTGTGTACGCTGGAGAAGAACCCGATGGCGGCTGTCGTCTCTCCACCGTTGATGGGCAGCCACGGGGTGGTCCCGTTGACGATCGTGGCTCCATTGCCTGATCTCTGTCGGCATATCGCAAACTGCATCGTTCGAGCAGAAACTGAAGTCTTCCTGGGGACCAATTTCTGGATCTACTCGGATGCATCAACGCTCGTCACCGATGCGTTCAGGGAGCTCTCCCGACGGGCTGGCGAGCGAGGCACCAAGGTGGTCGTGAAGGTGCTCTATGACCGGGGGAATGTCCAGCAGGTCTGGGACAACCACCTCAGTGTCCCTGAAAAGGTGTATGCGGATCCCAGTGGCAAGGTCCGCCTGCCTCCTGCGAGCGAGATCCCCAATATCGACATGCAGGTCGTCAACTACCACCGCCCCATCTTCGGGACCTTCCATGCCAAGTTCATGGTCATTGATCGACGGGTGGCGCTGATCCAGAGTAGCAATGTCCAGGATAATGATAACCTGGAGATGCTGGTGCGGGTGGAAGGGCCCATCGTGGACTCCTTCTATGACACCGCGCTGATCTCGTGGGGGAAGACGCTCGATCCTCCTCTGCCCATGCTCTCTTCGCCAGCTGCAGACGCCGCCATCCCCAGTTTCTCGTCTCAACAGCCACAGACCGATTCGGACAAGGAGCGTCGCCCTCTGCTGCCGGAACACACCACGCAGGACCCTCACTACGATCCCGACATCCAGCAAGAGGCGCAGCGTGTCAACGACACGGTCCGTCCGCGAGAGGGGGAAGCGAAGACCCGGGCAGTGACTCGTCACCTTAGTACGCTCTCCCCAAAGTACCTTTCTCCAGTACCCATCAACGCCCATCACTAACACAGCTACAGACACAACTATCCAACAGGATACCACCGGCGACGTCCCGGACAGCGATCAGGAACCCCCAATGAGACCCTACGTGACCCTTCCACCACACAAGACGTTCCCTATGGCCCTCGTCAACAGAGAACCTTGGGGAGGTAAGCAGCAACCATCTCATCCATCCTCTGATCCCCCCATCTCTAACATCCACCCAGCACCCAACCACAGCAGCGTCTACACGCCGCAAAACGCCGCTTTCCTCTCCGCCCTCAAGCACGCCAAACACTCCATCTTCATCCAAACCCCCAACATGAACGCCGAGCCCATCCTCGCCGCCCTCCTCGCCGCCGTCCGCCGCGGCGTCACCGCCACCGTCTACCTCTGCCTAGGCTACAACGACGCCGGGCAGCTGCTCCCCTTCCAGAACGGCACGAACGAGATGATCGCCAACAGGCTCTATCGCGCCCTGCACACGGCCGAGGAACGCGCCCGCCTGCGCATCCACAACTACGTCGGCAAGGACCAGACAAAACCCATCCACAACAAGTTCAAGCAGCGGAGCTGCCATATCAAGCTGATGATCGTGGACGAACAGGTGGCGATCCAGGGTAGGATCCATGCCCCCCTGTGTGTGTGTGTGTGTAGTGTGAGATTATCTGGTCCTCGGAAAAAAACTGACACATGAGAAAACTTGAGAACCATAGGCAACGGAAACCTCGACACACAGTCCTTCTATCACAGCCAGGAGGTCAACCTCCTCCTCGACTCGCCGCTGGTGTGCCGCGCGTGGCTGGACCAAATCAACCAGAACCAGAACACGGCGCTGTACGGCGCCGTTAGCCCCGAGGATGGCTGCTGGCATGACCCGGTTACTGGGAAGTTGCCGAGGGGCTCTGTTGGGGTTGATCCCGGGCGCTTCAGTTGGGCTAAGGGGCTCGTGGGAGCGGTGCAGAGGGTGAGAGGTGTAGGCGGGTTTTAGGTTCGTTGAGGGGGTTTGCTACATGTATATGTATTTATATAGAAGTATATTTGCTTTTGCGCTTGCATTTGGCCATGCTGTACAGTTGATTTGGTTTGGATATATCTGGCTGTTCGCGTGTATGATATATATAGTATTACTACTGCCTTGTCTCTGGCTGGTACATCCTGGCCAGAGCCAGAGCCAGAGCCAGAGCCAGAGCCAGAATCTGTGCGATGA